AGAGGGCACCAGGTCTCATTATAGATGGTTGTGAACCATCTATAATGAGATAGGAATTGAACTCAGGACCTTTGGAAGAGCAGTTGGTGCTCTTAACCTCTGAGCCCTCTCTCCAGCCCTCTATTCCCCTCTTGTATAATGTTGGCTGAGTGTGATCACATTAACTTCTGACTTTAGAATAATTATTTTCAGATATTCCTATTAATCAGTGTTATATTTGATAAGAATATCATTCACACTACTTCTATTTCTCAATTATAAAACTTGTTTTCTTTACCCTTAAATTTCACTGATAATCTATTTAGAAAATCTGAGTGTTTCCTCTCTTGTGCCAAATACACCAAAGCATGTACTCCTGAACATAAGCTGAATGGTTAAGTTATACCAGCTCTTATGTATGACCATCTGTATTTTAAATTCATCTCATCTACCTAGGTATTCAAACATTTCAAATGTGTGATTTTCTCTCTCCAGCATCGCTAATACTTCCACATTTTCTAAAACTCATATCTGCTGGATCATTCACCTTATACATTCCTATAGACATGGCATAGTACCTTTCATTTCTAAAACAATAACAAAGCCTATCAATAACTTCCAAATCCTATCACATCATTTCTTGAGTGTTCTTAACCACAAAGAGTTCAAGAAATCATCTCTGCCTTCTTTCTCTTCTCAGGGTCCCTGAATTTGTTGTTATTATTATATTAAAAACCCTGAAATTGAGCCGGGTGTCGGTGGTGCACACCTTTAATCTCAGCACTCAGGAGACAGAGGCAGGCAGATCTCTGTGAGTTCGAGGCCAGCCTGGTCTCCAGAGCGAGTGCCAGGATAGGCTCCAAAGCTACACAGAGAAACCCTGTCTTGAAAAATCAAAACAAACAAACAAACAAAAGAAAAGAAAAGAAAAGAAAAAAACTCTGAAATCAATGTTATCCTTAACCTCCATATAAATACATCCAGTGAGCATTTCCTGGGACAACTCTTACTGATCATGTAGATAGCATGTGGTGTAGCTATTTACTTCATCTGAAGTACTGTCTTCTTCAAATGTGTTATTGCCCAGACACCACTCTCTTGATTTCCTTTTTACCTCACTCACTCCCAGATGTCTGCTATTGGATTATTTATCAATGATTTGAAAGAGAAATGTCCTCCAGCTTTTCATTCACCTGTGCATTTAGTTCCCAGCTGATGGCAATGTTTGGAAGGGTTATGGAATCTTTAAGAAGTCGAGCCTTGCTGGGGGAACCATACCATAGGTGGAGAGCTTTGAGTTGTAAAGTCAGTCCCACTTCCTGTTCACTCTCTGCTTCCTGTGCAGATGAAATGTGACCAACCTGATTTCTTCTCCTCTTGTCATACCTTCCCTGCCTGTTCTTATGTCTCCTCCACCATAATGGATTCTATCTTCCTGGAACTGTAATTCAAAATAAACCTTTATCATCTAAGTTGCCTTTTCTCAGAGTATTTTATCACAGCCATAGAAAGTGAAACTAAGACACATCCTTCATTGGCTTCCAAGTGTTATGTGCCAGCCATTCAGCTCTTGGCCCTCTTTGTCTGTTACACTCACACTTAGGTGAACTACTCCAGGTCAATGACAAGGGATGGAACATCCAGTCATTGTTCATGTCCTGGTGTCTATCTCCAAGTTGCTTAGATATATTATAAGACTTCAAACTTAAAGTATCAAGGAACAAATATGTTTCTTCATCTCAATAAACAAGAACTCTATTCTTTTTTAAAATTTTTTTATTAGTTCAAATTAGGAACAAGCTTGTTTGTGTATCCCTTCACGTGAGATGGGCTCTCAAAGTCCCTTCTTACACCAGGGAAAAATACTGATCCACTACCAGGGGCCCCCTAGAGTACAGAGGCCTCCTCATTGACATCCATGTTCAGGGGTCTGGATCAGTCCTGTACTGGCCTCCCAGACAGCATCTGGGGTCAATGTGATCCCTCTTGTTCAGGCCAGCTGTTTCTGTGGGTTTCTCCAACCTGGTAACCGACCCCTTTGATCTTCATTCCTCCCTCTCTGCAACTAAGTTCCAGTGTTCAGTTCAGAGTATCTGTGGATGTCTGCCTCTGCTTCCATCAGCCACTGGATGAGAAGAACTCTATTCTTATAAGTCCTCAGTCAAAATGCCCATGGACATGTGGTCCTGGCTACAAAAGGAAACAAGGAGATATGAATTAGGGGAGATGATCTGAAGGAGATTTGAAGATTGACAGAGGTAAGAGGGAGATAATAGAATGTCGGAGTTTGGGCGATTAGAATGTATTATATACATGTATTTTTCAAAGAATGAATTTAATTAAAAAATTATACCACAGGGCTAGAAAGATGACTCAGTGGTTAAGAGCACTTACTGCTCTTTTAGAGGTTCTGGGTTTGTTCCCAAAAATCCATGTTGTGTGGCTCACAACTACCTGTAACTCTAGTTCCAGGAGATCTGACACCCTCATATAGACTCCATAGGCACCTGCACGTATGTGCACACACACACACACACACACACACAGAGACATACACAAACACACATCAAAACTCTGCTACAAACCCCCAAACAAACAACTTGGCATCCTCTTTGACTTCCCTTGCTTCTCTTATATAAATTCAATCAGGGCATAACATACATAACTAATAGAACTCAGCTGTAAATAGAGAAGTTGATTGGCATTAAAATAAAATAAATACTTAGCTTGTGTTCTAGGAGGTGAAACCTTCTCAGTGTTCTTCAGCAATCACTCCATTCCCACATATTGAGTCTACAACAGAGATCACTGCTAGGTAACAGACTATAGTAGTTAGTACCCAGTGTCCACAATAATCTAGAATTATATAAGGAAAACTAACAGTCAAAGACAGAGATACCAAAGACCCAAAGGAAACAGAGACAAAACATACTCAGAAAGAAATAAAAACAGCCACAAGGAGGAGACATAGGATGAGTAGAGGATGGAATTTAGTTAGAAACCTGGTTGTAAGCTATCTTGACTTAAATAAGGAATTATCAAGATATGCCCATTGTTTTGAATGTGACTCAAACTTACATACCCTGTAACCTTTTGTAAGCAAATTAAGCTCTCAGTTCTGTGCATTTTGTTTTATGTTTAGAACAAGGTCTCACTGTGTTGTCCAGATAGCCCTCAAACTCACTATCCTCCTGCCTCACTCTCTATAGTAATGACATTACAGGTATTCACTACCAGGCCTGTCTAATTTTCTTACTAGCAAGATGTGTATACACATAATAACATAATACTTACGGCAATGATAATTGATAAAACCCTATAGAAGCAGCTGTCACCCCCCCACCCCTGCCCCATTGCTAAGGTAAGTTTGGTTTAATTTAGATAATCCTTAAAGTGGAAGAAGCCTTTACAGCTGCTGAAGGGCTGTGAAAATGGATTAAAACAACCCAAGGAGTTGAACCAGTTACATTCTATTCCTTCAGAGCACTGTGTGTGCAGTTCTGTACATGGTATATGGACGTGTTCAAGTGTGTGTGTGCATGTACATATATATGCATACAGGTGAAAGCTGCAGGGTGACATCCACTGTCTTCCTCAATAGTTCCCCACCTACTTTTTTTTTTTTTTTTTTGAGATAAGAGCTCTAATAGCTCTGCAGGTCACTGATTGGTCAGGCTAGCTGGCCAATAAGCTCTAGGGATATGCCTGTCTCATGCCTGGTCTCTTGGCCAGTTACCCGAGGCCCACCACAGCTCCTGCTTTTTGAAGTAGGCTCTGGAGGTCACACTCAGGTCCTCCAGCTTGGACAGCAGGCACTTTACCTACGGAGCCATCTTGCCACCTAGCCCCCTTCACAGCAAGATGGTGAGACATTGTCTCACTCTCTGCTTCCTCTACTAGTTTATTAGTGTGCTCCACCCTCCACACACAACTAGTGGGTTCCATGGCTATTTGACCCCAGAAAACAGTACAGGGCCAGGGCCAGGGGCAGTCACAGTGATGATTAAATACAGGTTTAGAGAGTGGATAGGTTAATTATCTCTGCCATGAAGGTTTCATTGTGACCTAACAATACAGTCTGGAACGAAGGCCCACTTAAAACTTTCTTGACCATGAGCTTTTTATTTAATTACAACGTAGTTACTCAACTGCCCATGTCTTTATCCAGATGTTTTCCTTGCCCAAAGATCATTGCCTATTCCTTCCTATTCTTTGTTATTTTGGCCTTTCCTTGGGATTTTTATCTACCATTTGACAGTCAATTAACATTTTACTTAGGATTTTTAGGCATGTCCCTGATAATCTTAACGTGATGGTTGCAGCCCACTGTGTTCCTTTCATTTTCTCTGTTATGTAACCAAGTGCTCTGCTTCAGTTGCCCTAAAATTAGTGTAGATGCTGCAACTTTTTAATAAAACTCACTTAAATCCACATATTTAAGGTTCCTGAAAAACGAAGGAATAAATGTTAATTATGCTTTGTTTCCCACAACAGGAAATCCTGTCATTTCCCAAAGATAACCAACATTTCATTTGTGTGCGCAAAGTTAAGAAGCCAAAGGTGAGCCAGCAATTTTGATGCAGGCGGCTGAGGGGTGAAGGGTAGGGGGCGCAGCTGGGGGTGGAGGCAGATAGGAATGCATTGGTAACAGACCTTACACTTCGGGGTGAAAATACCTGATCACCAGCTGCAAAGCACGCTTTCTATTTTCATTTGGAGGCAGGGTAGTAAAGTCCATAGTGGCCAATGCTCCACAGCCTCATGCTGCTGCGGTATCTTGATTAGTCTTAGCCACAAGGTTACTGCACTTCCTTCCTTTCTGATCACACCCACACCTTGTCACACACATTCTGTGATCTGTTACCCATTCTTTTTCCATAAAAACATGTGATGCATCTGGACACCATGGAAACTTGAAAGACATGTTAATGAGCTGAAAGAACGTGAAACCTGGGGAGATGCTGATATAGGGACCAAAGAAAATCCCCAAATTCTTAATAAAGTTTTCATGTGTATAATCTCCCACTTATCCAACAAATATTGCCTGTGTGATAACTGTGTGTTAATCAGTCACTAGAACACATTATTCTGGGGGTAAATGGCAGCAATTCAAATATGGGATCTGGAAGTGTAGTTCAGTGGTCAGAGTGCTAGTCTGGTACTTACAAGGCTTTGGAGTTGGATCCCCAATACCATAAAAAGAGAAAATAAATTAAATGGAAAAAGTGTAACTAAGTATGAATAAGGGACAAAAGTGTGAACTTCTGAGGAGTGGACCTGTAACATAAATTAAGCCTGGTTGGTCCCCTGTTGGTTTATACGAAAAAATAGGACTTTTTCATAATTAATCCAGCTGCCTAAGACTCAGGATATCTGGGAATTTAAACAAAGCATGCTAATTATTATTTTTAATTACTTAAGATTTACATTATTTAATACAAAAACATGTACCATTATCCCCTATGCCCTTGGAGCTCACAGTCACACATTCAGTTTAATTTACCTGATTCAATTTTTCAAAGGGATTAATTTCCTGTCTAAGAAAAATGCAGGAAAACTTTACTGGATGGGGTGTCTTTAGAATTATAGCTCTGTAATGTTTTTTGCTTCATTAAGCTGAAATGACTCATTCTATTATATTGTATTGTTTCTGTATATAATTGGGTAAAAACACTGAAGTTAGGCAGTAGGGGAAGAAAACACCCTTGAACTCAGTTCGTAATAGATATGAGTAAAGGAAGGAAGAGCTCTAACTTATCCCATACTTTGCTGGAAGACTGAGTTATCTCTCACCCTCTGCCAGGAAGAGGTAGGAGCTATGCAAACAGCAGCAGTGGTAGCTGAATAGTTTGCTGGCTTTGTGGAATCCTATGAGGAGTGTAGGAAAAGGCATTTCAAAATGCAGCATCCTTTCAGTAAATTGACAAAGAATTCAGAGTGAAGTAGATAGCAAGGAGAAAAAGAAATAAAAAACATGTATAAGACACCAAAGGGAACATGGGCAAGCAAACACCTGCCAGAAGGTCCTGTGTGGTCCCCACGCTGAAAGACAGAGACTGGATTCTCCAAAAAGCAGAAGGATAGTGATGTGATCACTTCTATGACAAATGTCATGTACCAGGGGCTTTGAAGTCGGGATGCTTTACTGGCCATGGATAGTTAGCGGAATTACCTGCACTAATATCATGTAAGTCCTATCCTAACATTGAAACTGGTAACATTCACACCAAGATTCCTACAATAACCACCTTAGCTAGTTTTGTATGGTGCTCCTGTAGCTGCTGCCAGTGTAAGCCAATGTAACTATTTAAAGCCACATTCTTTAGAGGAGAATGATGAATTGCATTCTGAATAAAAGGGCTTTAGGGAAAGCAGCCCCCCTCCTGCATATAGTTTGTTTACTGAGGAAAACCACACTCAAAATTAAAGAATGTCATTGAAATTTAGATATTTTTTAAATCCAAGAAATTCATTTGAAGTGAAATATCATATCACAAGTTCTGTAAGTATCTGATTTTTTTCCCTTCAGTGTCTAGGATTAAACAATCTCAGGTCCACCGTAAGTGGAATCTTCAATTTTTTAAAAATAAACTGACTTACATTACATGCAAGAATGTGAGTGAATTCTAGGCTATTGAGAGGAGTGGTCCCTTTTAATGTAGAATTATCAGCACCCAATTTAGCACCAGATCTAGTAACTGATATTAGATTTGCTGTCACGGTGTGATTTGCTATATATCTATGGGTATTTTTACCCATGCGTTTTTTATGAGGAAACAGTTCACTGAAGTGATATGTTTGCAGCTTTCCTAGGGTTAAGATGAAGCGTGAACTTTTGTTCTTTGACAGGATACTCACGATGGAATATCCCTTCACTCAGTGTTGAAGATAAGAAAGCAGGAAATGAGCCCCGCATCTACTCTTTCACCACAAGTTATTATTATTTTTGTTTTTAGGTTCAAGTCCACGTATCTCTGAACATCCATGAAAGGGCTTCCTGGAAAACAAGCCAAAACAAAACAAAACCCAAGTGTCCCGATGGCACATGGCCCCACAGCGCCAGGAGACGGAGACCCACTCAGGCCGGCCCTGAAATGATAAAAGTGGACACTGGCTGAGTTCTGCAAACTCACTGAACTCTGAGCTCACTTGCAGTTCAAGGGGAGCCATGCAGGATGAAGACGGATACATCACTTTGAACATTAAACCCCGAAAACCAACTCTCAGCTCAGGTAAGATGGGTCATTCAGCAATCTGGACTTTCTCTCCCTTTGTCTGTCCTAGTGATGGGGCTCAATTTTATTTATGTTTTCCTGAATGATATTCTTTCTGCGAAGCATGTAAGTGGGGCCTACCGAGGCTTCTACAGCCATGGTGAGAATACAGGCAACAAAGACAGAAGAGAGGATGCTGTACTAAGACTATTAGAATGTAATGCTGGGGGTAAGAAGTTAGTGAACAAAGGGAGGACAGTTTAAAAACTCAAATGTCCGACAAATGTCTTCACATTTTAAATTCCATCGGTCCTGTGTATGATAGGAACTGGGCGCGAATAGTTACTGAATAAATACATTTGTTGAATGACTCACTTAGAAAAAATATATATTTTAAATTCTGGAGGGAAGGGTTTTGTAATCTGAACTCTTTCATTTTCCTTCTGTTTAAAATAATATAAAATCTTTGGGTCATGCTGAGAGGTGGTGGCACACACCTTTAATGCCATCACTTGGGAGGCAGAGGCAGGTGGATCTCTGTGATTTCGAGGCTAGGCTGGTCTACAGAGCAAGTTCCAGGACAGCCAGGGCTGTTAACACAGAGAAACCCTGCCTCAAAAATCAAAAAACAAAACAAACAAACAAACAAAAAATCATTGGGTCATAGTGTTCTTTAATGTGTAAACATTTTGTAAGTAAACATTTTTGTAAAACATAAAATAAAGTTCTTTTAACCTTTTTGAAAACAATCTCAAATTTCTGAACATCAGAAAATACAATTATCCACTTGTCTTCTATAAAAGACATTGTTTATATGAATGAGGATGCAGACAGAGGAGGGGGGATGTGGACTTGGCAGTTATAGTTTTGAATGTACAGAGAATAATCTATGGGGAGCAGAGATGACAGAGATGGGTGAATGCTGGAAAGTAAGCCATTCTCATTGCAGATGGTCACTAAGGGAATGAAGGCAAAATAGCCACCAATGCTGGTTTTTGTTGTTGTTTTAATTGTGTGTGTGTGTGTGTGTGTGTGTGTGTGTGTGTGTGTTTGTGTGTGTGTGTGTGTGTGTGCACGTGCGTGCGCGCGCGTGCGTGTGTGTGCACACGCTTGCATGTGTGGTTGTGCATGTATTGTTGTGTATGCATGTGTGAGTATGTGTGTGTGCACAAGAGAGCACCCATACTTGTGAGTTGGTGTGGGGGTGGGTAGGTATGGGTGTGTGGTTGTACATGTGTCATAGGCCCTGTGGAGGTCAGAGGACAGGTTTTAGAAGTAGGTTCTTTCCTTCCACCCTGTATTTTAGGAATCAAACCCAGGTTGTCAGGCTTATGCAGTGAGTACTTTATCTGCTAAGCCATCTCACTAGCCCAAGTTTAGTTGGATTTTAAGACAGGCCTTCATGGAACCTAGACTGGCATTGAGTTTGCTTATGTAGCCAAGGGTAGCTTTGAACTCCTGATCCTTCTGCCTACATGATCCAAGTATGGGGCTGTAAGTTTGCTCTCTCAGACACAACTTACTTGGAAAATCCTGAGAAGCCCAGGATGGCCTGAAGGTCTTTTCTTTCATAGTATCTTTATTGTGCTCTCACAGCTGACTCTGCTTCCTCGTGGTGGCGAGTGATGGCTCTAATTCTGCTGATCTCATCCATGGGGCTGGTTGTTGGGCTCGTGGCTCTCGGCATCATGTGTAAGTATTGGCTCCTTGCCAGGGCTTTGATCTGAGGAAAGCCATACCCCGGAGTTCCTGGAATAGTCTACTAAGCTAACTAATTGTCTCATCTGTTTGTCACCTACTCTGATTGTGCTGAACACAACTGTGGATACAACCTCAGCAAAGGAAAACTCAGAAGAGAGAGCTCGCCCCTCCGATTTGGATCTCTATTATTTTTCCTTAATTAAATTACTTTCAGAATGTATTGCTGGCATTTTAGGGGCTCAGTACGGACCCAAGCTGTCTTTCTTTCTCCCTCTCTGTCTTGTTTAATCTAAGGCCCAAGCAATTCAGAACTTTGCTAATTTTGTCAATAAAGCCTGTGTCTTCCTATTTGTTCTAGTCTCTAAATTTAAAATATCTTCCATCCCATCTTATTTACTGACACATTGGTTTTCTGTTCATGAATATCTAATCATAAGACTTTATGAGGTCTTGCCATAATTTGTGTTGCTAATTCACTTATTTTCTTGTTTTTAATATAGTTTAGAAGCCTTTATTCACCATATTTTTATTTACATGGATATAAAAGTATTTTAAACACCATAAAAGACAAGGTGTATTTTTTCATGTTTTAATTAATTAGTTACTTTTTAAAATTTAAAACATATTCATAAAGAACTTAAGAAACCACACAGCCAAATTAAGCAAACTGAAAATCTATGCATCTCAATGAACTTCTTCTGTACAGTTAGAACAGTCATCCCCCCATGCATTCTTAGGTGGATTAATTCAGTATTATATGTAGAACAGAATGGCAATGTTCGGCTTCTCTCATCTCTGTGAAGCCCACTTAGGAAATATCAGACCGGCTGCCTTAGTCACGTGTTTTCACCTCAGGACTTTTTCAACGTCAGTCAATTTGCACACTTTTATGCAGCCCTCCCTTGGTTCTTTATATTTCATTTTTTCACTATTCATTGATTTCTGTGTACCTAGTGAACTCTTCAACTGCTGGCAGGTTTATAGAAATGAAAGTTCACTGAAGAACCCTGCCATCATCCTTTTGATCTTGAGACCCAGGGGTAATTTGTCTCTTTTCTACATTTAGCAGTTACACAGCAAAGGTACCCACTAGCTGAGAAGGAAAGTCTCTCAGCCACTTTGCAACAACTGGCCAAGAAATTCTGCCAAGAGTTGATTAAGCAATCAGAGCTCAAGACAAAGAACACGGCTGGTAAGTCTGGCTTGGAAATGTCATCCCTCCAAGCCCTGTGTGTCTGTTGTGGTAACAGGAGGGAGGCCCACCAGAGCAGGCACACTGCACCTGGGGAAAGCTGCAGCCGGATTTTGACAGCCCCAAATTTGGTCTCCCCTTCAGAGCACAAGTGCAGCCCCTGTGCCTCAAGGTGGAGATACCATGGAGACAGTTGCTATGGGTTCTTCAGACATAACCGAACGTGGGAAGAGAGCAAGCAGTATTGTGCTGAGCAGAATGCAACGCTTGTGAAGGCTGCCAGCCAGGGGACTGTGGTAAGGAGGGTCCCATGTCAAACATACGGGAACTTAAGGAAAAAGCTCTCAAATGAAACATGGAATCTGGTTTTTTTTTTCCTTTCTTTTTAAAAATGTGTTTCTTAATGGCTTGCACTTGGTGCTCCTCTGAGAAATTTAGGAAGCTTGATAACAAATACAGAGCTTACATATTCAATCCAGTAATATTCCAGAATATCACAACAGTGTTTCAGTGAGACTGGATTGCGTGTGCCTCCATGACAGCAAAAGTGGACAGTGGGTGGGACAGGATGAGTCAGCAGCGGGTGACACTCCCATCACATTTATTCCAGTTTGTGTGCGTTTCTGTCTAAATTCATAGAGAAGGTTAAAATTAACGAATATATTTACCCAGTCAAAACAGGGGCGTGTCCTAGCATGTCAACTCCATTATAAAGAGATTGCACAGAGACATGAAACATGCTACGACTCCCATCATTCCAGACTGACACCACTTGAAAATCTGTAAGATAACAAAAGAAGTATCACCATTTTAAGAAAAAAAGGTTAAAAACCAATTGGATTTTTCCATCAAGTCCAACAGGGAGGCATCTTGGGCAGTGTGGATATGTATCTATCTATATGGTCATGTTTTAGAGAAAAGCGATTGATGGATTAACAGAAAGGCGGTGGGTGGCCCAAGTGTCTCCTGCGCAGTGTTATTCTGTGTGTTACACTTCTGCCCACAAGCTCAAAACAATTTTGTTTTGTTTTGTTGCTTTCAAGGGTGAATTCTTGTCTGCTATTCTGGGATGCATGAAGGCATAATGAATATTTGGCTTCCTTTTGCTTTTCTCTCCGAGAGATTGATTGTCCATTCATCTAATAGTCAATCTGTATGCACTGGAACCACTCTGGGACCTGCATCTATGTACTCAATAAAACCAAAAGCGATGAATTTAAGAAAATTAGCTGGGCAGCCTTTAATTCTAGCATAGGAGATGTAAAGGCAGGCAGATCTATGAGTTTGAGCCTACCCAGGTCTGCAGAGTGAGCTCCAGGACATACAGGGATACACAGAGAAACCCTGTCTTGAAAAACCAAACAAAATAACAAAAATAAATTATAACCAGGCAGGAAAAAGTAAATCAGAGCCAGATGTGGCAGTGTATGTTTACATAGTGATAGCTCAGGCTAGAATTACGTTTGGGGCCAGCTTGGGCTACACAGTAAGAATTTATCTAAAAGGAGAAAGAAAGCATAGAAAAATGTATATTTGGAAAGGTAGAAGTTCTCTATTCATGCAACTAAAACAAATTAATATTTCTGTATATAAGATAATCAATAAAATCCAAGAACTTAATTCATTTTGTTTCTTGTCATCTGTAGTTGCATTCATCCCAATTGAATCATATTTAGGGGTCTCCCTGGAACTAAAATTTTTAATTGGTAGAAAATACAAAAATACATTATAAAAACATAGGAAAACTAGAATATTACCTATATAATGCAATTTATCTTGTGCTCTATACACTTTTTAGTGTCTCAAAACAAACTAGCAAAATCCTAGACATGAAATATAACTCATCAATAGCAACATAGGTGTGTAATTTCAGATGCTTGCTTGAGGCTTGTGTCACTGTCATTGCACAGTGCTTGTGGAGGCACTTACCATTTTATGGATTTGTTTGCAACAGGAATACCTCACAAGCAGGATTACTTCTGTCCGTTGGATTGGATTATCACGTCAGAACTCTAATAAGGACTGGATGTGGGAAGATAGCTCAGTTCTTCCCAAGAATATGTAAGTCTCTGGTAGCTCAGCTTAGAAGGCGTTACTCAAAGCTTCAAGTCACATATTTCTTGTAGAACACAAGTTGCCTGAAAGTCGAGATGTCTCTCTACCCCACTATGGGTTGTAGCTGTCAGTCACATGTGACTAATCTCTCTCTCTCTCCCCCTCCCTCCCTCTCTCCCTCTCTCTCTCTCTCACCCCCCCCCTCCCTCTCTCTCTCTCTCTCTCTCTCTCTCTCTCTCTCTCTCTCTCGTGTGTGTGTGTGTGTGTGTGTGTGTGTGTGTGTGTGGTGTGTAAATTGGCCTAATTCTTTTGTGCTTTGAGAATAAATTTCTCTTTTTCATTATTTTATGGTTGGAGTAATTACCATCAAGTTTATTTTCACTATCTGTTCGTCCTGTGGGTCTCTACAAACCAGGTAGATTGTAGATCACAAGGCAATTCCAATGCTTTACAATAAGTCTCCACACTTCTAATGGCATTGTAGGCAAATGACCTCATTTCACCGAGTTGTGTTATTCAATATGGCTCTGTCTCACCTTAATTTTTTAAAATTTAAAATTTAGTATGTGTGCATGTGTGTATGAGAGATAGGTAGGGAGAGAGAGAGAGAGAGAGAGAGAGAGAGAGAGAGAGAGAGAGAGAGAGAGAGAGAAAACGCATGCCACATTGTATGAGAGTGTAGGTCAGAGGACAACTTGGGGGAGTTAGTTAGTTAGTTTTATCCATCCACCATGTAGGTCCTGGAAATCAAATATAGGTCAGCAAACTTGCAAGCAAACACCTTTCTTTGCTGAGCCATCTTGCTGGCTCTCAATACAGCTCTCTAGCCACTAGTTTCAACATCTTTTGTTTATTTGGCACAACATTGCACTCTCTCTGTCCAGAATTTATAACAAAAGCTTATACAATTCTATCATTATTTAAATAAATAACTAAGGCAACATGTATTTATTATTTACCTTGGACAGAATCTCAGACACACAAATACATACAAACCTGCAAACCATGGCCCTTAACTCTCATTGCTTACTGCCTTGCTCACAATATTGCAGGAAAGTGGTGTTCTTTCTAAATTCTCAAGGAGTCAAGTTCCCCTTTTCCTCCTAGATTCCATGACCAACTCTTTTTTTCCCCAAGAAATTATTTTTTATTAGTTCAAATTAGAAACAAGCCTGCTTCACATGTCAATCTCTGCTCATTCTCCCCCCCTCCTTTCCCACTCCCCACCAGCCCCCCACCCCAAACTCCCTCTGTTCCCCAGGGAGGGTAAGGCCCTCCATGGGGATCCCCAAAGTCTGTCATATAATCCTGGGCAGGGCCTAGCCCTTCCCCCATTTTTCCAGGCTGAGAGAGTATCCCTCCACGTGGAATGGGTCCCAAAGTCCTTTGTTACTCTGGGGATAAATACTGATCTACTACCAGGGGCCCCATATGTTTCCAAGGCCTCCTCACTGATACCCACGTTCAGGGGTCTGGATCAGTCCGTGCTGGCCTCCCAGACATCAGTCTGGGGTCTATGCGCTCCCCCTTGTTCAGGTCAGCTGTTTCTGTGGGTTTCACCAGATCTTCATTCCTCCCTCTCTGCAACTGGGTTCCAGAGTTCAGTTCAGTGTTTAGCTGTGGGTGTCTGCCTCTGCTTCCATCAGCCACTGGATGAAAGCTCTAGGATGGCATGTAAGGTAGTCATCAGTCTCATTATAGGGGAAGGGCATTTAGGGTAGCTTCTCCACTATTGCTTAGATTGTCGGTTTGTGTCATCCTTGTAGATCTCTGGAAATCTCCCTAGTGCCAGATCTCTCCTCGAACCTATATTGGCTCCCTCTATTATGGTATCTTTTATCCTGCTCTTCTCTATTCTTCCCTGGACTCAACTGTCTTGCTCCCCCATTTCCTCCTCTCCCCTCCTCTTCTCCCCATCTCTTTCTCCTGGCTCCCTCTCCCCCACCCCTATGCTCCCAATTAGTTCAAGAGATCATGTCCCCTTCCCCTTCTCTGAGGGAGAGGGGCATGCATTCTTCTCTTAGAGTCCTCCTTGTTTCCTAGTTCCTTTGGTGAAGAGGATTGTAGGCTGGTAATCCTTTGTTCTATGTCTAAAATTCATATATGAGTGAGTACATACCATGTTTATCTTTTTGTGACTGGGTTACCTCACTCACATTAATTCCATCCATTTGCCTGCAAATTTCAAGATTCCATTATTTTCCCTGCTGACTAGTACTCCATTGTGTAAATATATCACATTTTTCTTTATCCATTCTTCAGTTGAGGGGCATCTAGGTTGTTTCCATGTTCTGGCTATTACAAATAATGCTGCTATGAACATAGTTGAACATATGTCCTTATTGTATGAATGTGCATTCTTTGGGTGTATGCCCAAGAGAGGAATTGCTGGACCTTGAGGAAGGCTGATTCCCATTTTCCTGAGAAACTGCCATACTGATTTCCAAAGTGGTTTTACAAGTTTGACCGCCCACCAGCAATGCAGGAGTGTTCCTCTTTCTCCACATCCTCTCCAGCATAGACTGTCATTGGTGTTTTTGAATTTAGCCATTTGGGCCAGTGTAAGATGGTATCTCAGAGTTGTTTTGAGTTGCATTTCTCTGATGGCTAAGGATGTTGAGCACTTTCTTAAGTGTCTTTCAGCCATTTTAGATTCCTCTGTTGAGAATTGTCTATTTAGTTCTGTACCCCACTGTTTAATTGGGTTATTTGGTATTTTGGTGACTAGCTTCTTGATCATCCCTCTGTCAGATGTGGGGTTGGTGAAGATCTTTTCCCATTCTGTGGGCTCTTGCTTTGTCTTGCTGACTGTGTCCTTTGCCTTACAGAAGCTTCTCAGTTTCAGGATGTCCCATGTATTAATTGCAGAGCTCAATGTCTGGGCTATTGGTGTTATGTTCAGGAAGTGGTCTCCTGTACCAATTTGTCATGACCAACTCTTTTTTGTTGGTCAAGTCCATTTGAAGTCACTTTCTCAGTGAGATGGACTCTAATGTCTCCCACTAAACCCTGCTCCTTCTGCACATGCCGGCCCTGTTGTCCCCTTACTGTTTTATTTCCTCACAGCTCTCACTGCTTTCTGCCATTTTCCCATCTGCCTATCTGTGGTCATCTTACCAATTTCTCCTCACTGGAATTTGGGTTTTTAAAAAAGAGGAGACCTTTTCTTTCCTCCCTACTCATGGAACCATTTTGATAACTCATTGGTGTCCATAGGCGTCTTCCAAGTAGATTAAATGTATTTTCCTATGTCTCATTGTAAACAGTGATTTGGGGAATAGAGAAACACTTTCAGACCAGTCACCTGGTGTTGTTAGTTCTCAGACCTGCAGTATTTAGCCCATTTTACTTCTACTTGAGGATTTTCTCATGTTGTGCAGCTAGCCACTGCTCTATAAGAACTTCCCATTTCCTCTCTGCTTATGGAAAACCTACTCAAAATTCTTTCAATACTGACCCAAAGTGAATTGTACATAAATTTTTGACATGTCAGAGCATGAATTACCTCTTTCTCTGGACTCCCCTTGTACTTTCATTGACTTTCTCTTGACTTACACTATATTACATTGTTACTGGACTTTTCTTGTATACAGTTTATAGAGTTTCTTGTATAGAGTTTCCCAAAAATAAGATTGCTGTTTTTTCCCCCACCTCATGCCTCTAGTTTGATCAGCAAAACATACATATTCCTTGCTTCTTTATTACTTAGCTCAAAAACAAAACAAAACAAAACAAAAAACAAAAAAAAAACTGTGCTCTCTGTCTTTTTCATTTGCAGGATTGATCTTTCTGGGAATCCAAGAGAAAACATGAATTGTGCTTATCTTTATAACGGGAAAATCCATCCAGCTTCCTGTGAGGACAGGCATTATTTAATGTGTGAGAGGAAGGCTGGCCTGCCAAGAGTGGACCAACTACTTTAATGCGGAAGGATAAACAGGATGTCAGATAAGTGCTTGGTCATGCAATAAAAGATCTGGACAAAAGAATTACCCAGTCATAAAACTGTTTATTTTTTATGTCATCCTTATATCACATATCTGATCCTTTCTCTGCATATAAAAAGCAGTGTGTGAGCAATCACTAGCTGTTCAGTATTTCACTTTCCATTAACTTTCTTTTTATCTTCCATTTTCTTAGCATACTGTATGGCATCCACTGCATCTTCAAATAGATATACATAAAATTAAAATTAGATCAATCAGGGTATGGGGATAGTAGAAATAAACAGATTAATTCTGTAAAATAGTTTAAATGGGATGAGGCCTTAACAGAAGAGCAGCCATGAAGAAATTCTTTCTTCCTTTCTTTCTTTCTTTCTTTCTTTCTTTCTTTCTTTCTTTCTTCCTTCCTTTCTTTCTTTCTTTCTTTCTTTCTCTGTCTCCAAGTCTCTCTCTCTCTCTCTCTCTCTCTCTCTCTCTCTCTCTCTTTCTCTCTCTCTCTCTCTTCCCATCTCTTTCTTTATTTCTCCCTGCCTTATTTAATCTAAGGCCCAAGCAATTCGGAATTTTGCTAATTTAATCAATAAAGCCTGTGTCTTCCTGTGTGAAACCTTGTTTTTTCTAGTCTCTAAATTTAAAATCTCTTCTATCCCATCTTATTTACTGACGAATTGGCTTTCTGTTCATGGACATCAAATCATAAGACTTCATGAGGTCATGCCATAATCTACCTATCTTTGAGACTGGGTCTCACTATGTAGCCTTCTCTGTCCTGGAACTCATTTTGTAGACCAGGTGCCTTTCTATGCATTCCAAATGACGGAATTAAAGGCATGTGCCTAACTAATGAAGCAGTTTTGTATTTTGTTTAATTTATATTTTCTCATACTTAAAATAGGATGGTTTGGGGGCTGGAGGATAAACCAAAATGTGTGTGTGTGTGTGTGTGTGTGTGTGTGTGTGTGTGTGTGCTTAAATAAAGTAAAATGGGATGATATTGCCTATCTCTTATGCGTCATCAAAAATAAACTTCAGAGTTCTATCTATCTGTACAATGAGCATACAGTCCCAATGACCTGTATAATTTACATGCTTACAAGAAAATTTCAGACTACTGATACCAAAAACTCCATGGAAATGGTCCTCATGACTTCATTGTTCATTGCCTGTGATCAGCATCAAGAAATTCCCCGACTCAAGGGAGAAAGAAACTGTGCCTTTCATTCTGGGAGACAACAGTTCACTCTCCCCCGTTCGCTTCTCCTTACTCAACAGTTGTCATCCTCTGTACAACACAAGGAAACTGGATTTGAGAGAGACCTCACAGGATCTGTAAAAACAGTAGATGCTTCATGACAAAGCAGTGATCAGAAGGAAGAAGAAGCAGCAGAAGTGTTTTATCTGCTTCTTTTCCTGATGGGTCTATGTTTGGTGTTTGCTGAATAACGGAGAAGTATTTATAGGACCTGTGAGGAAGCACCTCTACAGGATAAGGGGCAAAAGTTGTTCTTTCTCCCCCCACAACTTCCTTTGTTTAACTGGTGAGAGAATAGGATCATGAATACAGTTCATCTCAGATGAGGTCTTTGTGGAAACTGAACATGTTCAAGCGTGAAGGTAGATGGAACTCAGAAGGCTGAGGAGACAAGGAAATCTGTTTGTAACACACACTACCTGTGACCCTGTTGTAAGCAGTCAGCTCCTAGTGCCTTTCAATAAACATGACTTTAGCACTTACTCCCTATGTGGTTTGGGGCAAATGGTTTAGTCTCTTCAGCACTGTTTCCTGGCCTATGCAGTGAGCTGGTTCCCTCATCCAGAAGAGAATCGTGATGATCTCTGATGTAATTATGTAAAATACTGGTCACAGCATCAAGCATTTGATGCTCAAAAAGTAAGTGTTAGTTTCACGGCTCTGTGCAACTGACGTGCACATCTGCACCTTGGTTTATTTTAGACTGTAAGGGAATACAGTTCTGAGCTACAGAAAAACAAGAGAACTTCTTCAGCCTCTTGATTGCAAATGCCAAGATCTTGTTCTCTAAAGATGGAAAGTCTTGGCTTTTTCTCTCCAGAGCTGGGAATTCAGGGCTGAACTTCTTGTACATAAGTGTCTATTTGCAGAAACCAAGTGGGAACTAGTAATTCAAAAACTGTCCAAACACCAACCTTCTGCCTGGACCTGGACTTTAGTGTTTTTCAACTCTTCAGGATGTGAAAGGCCATACTTATTTTTTATTCCATGTATTTATTTTTTATTTTACATTCCAACCAAAGTTCTCCCTCCCCACCCCGTCTATTTCCCCAGACCAACCCCCATCCATTCCTCCCAACAGGTAAGGGCTCATATCAGGAGTCCACAAAGTTGGGCACAATAAGTTGTGGTGGGACCAAGCCCCTCCCCCTAGGTTAAGGCTGAGCATGGCATCCCCTCATAGGGAATGGGTTCCAACAAGCTAGCTCATGCCTCAGGAATAGATCCTGGTCTTACTGCCAGGGGCCCCTCAGATAGCCCAAGCTTCACAACGGTCTCCCATATACAGAGGGTCTAGTTTGATCCATAGAGGTTTCATAGCTGTGGGTCCATAGTTCATGATTTTGCATGAACTTGGTTCGGCTGTCTCTGTAGATTTCTAAATCATGATCTTGGAAAACTCCCAAGAATCCACAAAGATGACCCAAGCTAAGACTCCTTACAATAGTGGAGAGGATGCCCAAACTCGCCTTTCCCTGTAATCAGATTGGTGAATACCCCAACTATCATCATAGAGCCTTCATCCAGTAACTGATGGAACCAGGAACAGAGATTCACAACCAAGCACCAGGCCGAGCACCGGGAATCCAGTTGAAGAGAGGGAGGGGGGAATACATGAGCAAGGGAGGGAAAGGACATATTTAACACATTTATTTATTACTACAACATATACAGGGTTAGAGGGTGTTACAATATGACCTCAGAGGGGTCTTGGCCGGTGGGAGCCAAGAGGCCCCGCTATGAGTGACAAGAAATAGACAAGCCATGCAGATAGCTCTCACATGAAGAGTTTATTGGGAGGATGGGGGGAGGGGAGAGAGAGAGAGAGAGAGAGAGAGAGAGAGAGAGATAGAAAAGAGAGAGAGAGAGAGTTGCAGAGAGGGAGAGAGACAGAGGGTTAGAGTGAGAGACCCATGGGCTGGGGAGAAGAAGAGGAAGAAGGGGGAGGTAGAAAAGGCAGGGTTTTGTCTCTCTTTAAAGGGAGGGGCATAGCACATGTGCACAGCGACTACACAGTAGGCCAGGGTACTACCTGCATACTTCATACTGAGCATGCCCACAAGGGTGACACACTCTGCTAGGTCTCCTGGGGCAGGCCAGGTGTGCCTAGATGCTAACAGAGGCAACATATTCAATGCCCTGCTAAACATGCATAGAAGGTGAAACCAATCACACTGTATCTACAAAGCCTCTTCTTCCTAGTAGTCATGCCTAAAGCACATCTTGAAATGAAAGCAGCCCAGATCCTACAATCAAAGCATCCCATCATTCCATTTCAAACATAGCATTAAAGTCGCTAAATGGACTGACTTCTCTGAGTCCTGAGTTACAGCTAACTTTTCCTCGAGTTTCACAGAACTGTGGTGAGGAAGCAGTTCCTGTGATTGGGCTTTAAAATGTTTGTTAGGAATTTGATGAATGATAAACACAAATATTATCTAAAACATAAAACAAGCAAACAAAAGCAGCAGCAGTACAAGCAGCACATGGGTCTTTTGTTGGGAGAAATCAAGGACTTTTAAAGATTTAGCAGGAGTGGATTATCCTGGGAGACACCGAATACACCCAAGCTTGGCTGTCAGTGCTAACGAAACGAGAAAAGAAACTAGAAACGAGCAAGCAGCTGATGGAGCTCTGGCCCCCGGGTTGGTTGCAATATTATTTGTTGTTCTGGTTTCTTCCTCTTTTCTCACCTGCTAGAACTTAGCATATGCAAAGGTTTATTTGGAGTTCAGTCATTTTGTTTTCAGATCAGACACAGCCCAGGAAATGTTGGCAGAATGTGCTGGACACTTTTCATTTGTCCCTAATGTCCCCCACCAGTTACCCCCTGTGTCTCAGGAAGCTAAACTCAAATGAGTATAGTTTCTGGGCAAACTCAGCTCCCGAGAGACATGGAGGAATGTCAGAATATAATTCAGATTTACTATGCTTCTTGCTTTGGTAAGGCCTGAGGTTCTGCATCCTAGCCCTTAGCTCTAGTGAGGCAGATCACAAACTCCCAGTGTCTGCCAAGCATGTTTTATCACCGCTCTTTGGCATCCCTATTACCCTTTTACCAAACTATAATCCTATTAGTGAATTCCCTTACATTACCTCTTGAGTGTGCCATTTTGATGAAGAACTATTGATCCACTGAGACTCTAAAAAAAAAGAACATGCAATTTTGCAAGTAATATGAACTATAAATTACTGAGAAGTGACCTTTAGGCATAAGGACAAGTGGCCTAGAGATAAATGATGTCTAAGAGATCAAATTTCTCAATACCAATGCTGTAGTCACAGGATGTGATGAAAATGGCCGTCTGTCCACTAAATAATTCATTCCTCCTCCAAGAGTGAAAACCTCTGGATGCTGATGCCCGGGCAAAGCCAATCTTCATGGCCAATATGGAAATGCAATGGATAAGGGAGGCTGTTATTCATATCAATTCTTGGTTACGGGTTTCAAGAAACAAGTGTGAAAATGGAAGTTTCAGTCCTGCCTGGTCCCACAGCTGCTTTGCCCCAAATAAACACACAGGGACTTTTATTCATTGTAAACTGCTTGGCCAATGGCTTAGGCTTCTTACTGGCTAGCTATCTCTTAATTATTAACCCATTTCTATTAAACTATGTATTGCCACAAGGCTACGGTTTACCCATAATCTGGTGTGTTACTCCTTTGCAGCATGACATCTCCCTCGAGGCTTTTCTCTGCCTCCTCTCCCTAGAATTCTCCTTGTCTGATAGTCCTGTTTATACTTCCTGCCTGGCTACTGGCCAGTCAGTGTTTTATTCATCAACCAATAAGTGAAACATATATACAGAAGGACATCCCCCATCACAAACGTGGGTTTGTCTCCTCTTTCCTTTCCCATGACTCCAATATTCCAGAAGACGGAAATAGCCCAGGCCTCTTTTGGGAGAAAACTCTCTGTCAATCCCAATCCCCAGGGAAAAACTATGAGGGACATCTAAACATTTACAGCACTGACTGGTATTTTGAAGTTTACCTATCTTATCAGTCAATATTATCCTAACCAATAGACCGGTTAAAAATGAATTTAGGGATGAAATCCTTTCCAAGATTTCTTGTTTGAAAATCCAAAAGCTATGTACAGGTTGGTTTGCCTGGACTGGACCGCCTTTATCTTTGTTCCCTGAGTGGTCATCTCTGTGCTTCATATCCTGTGCCAGATAGAAGTTCATCCTGTGTACCCCCTCTTTGGCATCTGCTACCGTATGGGAATCAGAACAACAGTATAGCTAGACCACAACCATTCTGAGTTCCACAGCCATTCTGAGTTCAGTACATTCTCATTTCTTCCTTTATTGAGTTATGTTTAAATTCAAGCTTTAACAGTTCCACTTTCTGGATGATGGTGCGCTCACCCTGCAGCTTAGACCCCAGTGCATTTTACAGCTGTGAAAGAGTAGTCAGTTCCATTTTTTTTTTGTATCAGTATACTCCTAATCGAGAGAGGAGTTATTTCTGTCAAGCTCCTATGTAGGTGGCTTTACCTCTCCCTTCAAGCATGCACGAGGAAGAAATATACTGTTCTCTTCAGTGGGACAGTCCACCTGAGGAGGGCTCTCAGAAATGTCTATCTCCTTGCAAATGTTCAGGTAATAAATTCAAAATGCTTAATAGAAAACTAGATTTTTTCTGTTTGTGTTCTGTGATGAACCCAAGGTGTTTCTTATAATCTGAGATAACCTCTTTATAGAATTCTAGTATGCCTGATATGGTCACTGGCATGGATGATGAGTAAAGGTGAAAAAGAAAAAGAGCCCTGGGCTCGGGAAATGTGGTATATTCTCTCTCCCAAGTCTGAACAAAGGCCAAATAAATCATACAATTTTAATTACTTTAGTTTTTTGCATAAAATGCTCAGCAAATTATGTGACAAATACTAAGAAATATAGGAAAAAGTTGAAAAACTAGAAAAAAATCTTCATGCTGCGGCAGCTATGATTTCCTTGTTTTATCCCTATTTCTACATCTTATGGTAATTTTTATTTTTAAAACTCTGCAGCACCAAATGTTTTCAAATAGATAAGCATTTATTCATTTCTAGTCATTTCTTTTGATGATTCATCAACTAGATGTCACAAGTAATATCATACAGTGAATAATTGGTTGGGCTTTAAAAGTGTTTTATTATATTTTCCCAAGTAATTACATGGTTTAGTTTTTAGTACTGACTTGTGACAAATTCACTAATTGAGGTTAGCTTTCACATGGCAGATCTCCAGTGTAGTACTGGCTTCAGAATCTGTTTTGTCACATACAGCACCATTTCAAGGATCCAGGGATGATGCAGAGTTATCACAGGCAGGGCATTATCTGCCTATCACAATATTATTTTTCTTTGATTAGTGTGGATAATTTAACAAGCCACATCACTCACTTTTCCACTTTTAGTTGGTAATTTCTGCTCATTTTCTAAATTGCTTATTAAAATTAAAAATAATTCAATAAATCATATTCAAGAGATTCTGAAAGGAGTTGGGGGGGGTCTTGATGTTAAGAATTCAAGGTTGCCTAGATGGCATTATGGAGACTGTTGAAAAAAATAGATATATAGATAGGTAGGTAAATAGATAGATGTAATTGTTTGTTAAAGCCATAACATTGTACATTAGGATCACAGAGATATGGCACAAAGTCTATTGAATTTGGTATTTTCCAGATCAGATGCATCCTAAGCTATAAGTTTATTTCTAGAGAATTTAAGCAAAGATTCTCCTTTTCCTATTAGAGCTTCAGTTCTTTGTATTTCTCCAGTAGGAAGGGCCCATCCTTCTTCCACTCATCCCAACATCGTCTGTGACTGTTTTCTCTAACTCATGTCACTGTTCTGATTCCACATTTAGGAACATGGTGTGTTGTGACGGTGATTTCCTGTGTGTTCTGTGTGGGTTTGTTAGCAACATCCATTTTCTTGGGCATCAAGTGTAAGTACAAAAGCATATCTTCAAAGTTACCTGTTTACATAAATGGCTGATGAATTATGTATAGCTGTATCATTATGTAAAAAGTCCATATATGTAAATGGATAGAGATCAATTAAGAACTATTTAAGTGAATGCAAACATGATGAAGGTACTTTGATTCGTATTAAGAAGAAGTTCACACAATGAGAAGGAAGAACCTGGTAAAATTAATCACCTAAAAGAATGCAATTAATTAATTTTAAAAATTGCCTAGAACCACTAGTAAGGATGCAGAGATGTAGTTGTTGTGTTTCTCATTAAAGCAGAAGACTGACACGATAAATAAAGGACCCAGAGACAGATATTGGGGTTCAAGCTTGAGGCTGAAGATCAGAAAAAACAAAGTAGCCTGTCACTACTAGCTCTTACCTCTACCTCAGCGCAGACCAAAGGGGTAATCCTCAGACTGCTCCCGACTTCACTGCTCCTCAGATTTAGTCAGAGTGCTATGCTCTCCTCAACATGGCTAGAGACTTACTCTCAGACTGACTGCTACGTCTGAGTTCCTGCTCCTGTTTTTCATACCTTCCTAATGCTGGGATTGAAGGCATGTGATCCCATGTGCTGAGATCACCTTTGTGTGAGCTGTTTCTTTTAGGACAGCATCAATTTCATGTATTCAGTGTGGCTTTGAACTAACAGAGATCTGTTTACCTCTTAATCCTGAGTCCTGGGATTAAAGGTGTGTACCATCACTGCCTAGCTCTATGGCTTGAGGCTGGGTTTGTTTTCTGAATCCTCAGGCAAGCTTTAATAAATTATAAATAATATATCACTACACAGAAAGTTAATAAACTATTTATAGAGACATATAGTTTTCTAAAAATAATATGCAAATTAGATTCATATATGCATATGCACTCTGCATACACAGCGTTACAACAAATAAAGCCTGAATGTTAACCAGCACTGCTTGAGTGGTCATTTGCAAGATGTATAGACTTGTAATTTTCCCCTCATTCTTTTGTGTTTCTGTTTATAGTGCAAAATATTTCCAGAGAGAACAGTTTTCCTTATGTTTTTTTCTGTTCATTTTTCAAACTCATCATTTAGGTACAACGTGTAGCATTATATAATGTTGTTTGGGAGATTTAGAAGTATTTTGTTTCATTTCCTCAGGAAATGACATTGTTCTGTCATTGTCGCTAACTTGTTGCAAAGTAATTACAATTCAAACACCAATAAAGATCAAGCATTTGCTTCCTATGTAGGATTAAATGCCAAGGAGAAGTCTTATTTCCCTTTCTCCTGTCTCATAACCATCTGATGCAGTCCATGCTACCCAGAGTGTAATAGGCAAAGCAGAAATGACTTGAAATACAGCTGCTCACCCAGTAAAGTTCATCAGAATATTAAAATTATATCTCAGCTTTCTAAAAAGATGATTATATTTCAATCCCTATAAGTGCCAGTTTATTAATATAATAAAACAAGGAACATTGATTTTATACTCCTATCTCTAGGTAGTACCCAAATCAAGAAAAGAAAAGGAGGAAGGGGGAGAAATTCATTCTAATGAAATTCTAAATATGTGCAGAGTTCTTAGATCTAACACCTTGTAGTGATAGCCACCTCCATACCTGTAGCACTGACCATGCTCTTTTGGGTGTGGTCATAGGTTCGGATGTGGCCTGTGATAAGAATTAGGTTTGGGGCTGGTATCTCTCTCTTGCTTCCTGCTCTGGTCCTGCGGAGAGCATCCAGATGGCAGCGTCGGGGGCATTTTTGGAGAGGGAACCTGAAGTAGTCATCTGTTTCCCGTGTAAGTGCAGTCTCCCCGAAAATAAACTTCACTTCACCTGTACAGAGTCTAGTGAATCTTGATTCCCACGCCCATAACACCTAATACGTTATTAATAAAAGTAAAAGCTGTTTAAATGCACCTACTTCAACATAAAAATGGCTGAACTCATAAGGCAGAAGAAGGAAGCACTTGCGAACCAGATACTCAATAAAATACCTGAACCTAGAGTCGGTAAAGCTTTCAACAAGGAACCAAGCCATTCAGTGATAAGACGGAAGAATGACATGACAACACATTTCTCTGTAGAATTTAAGGAAGTGTAAAGCAAGCATAAAAACAGGGTTCAATATCATTAACCATTAGGAAAAAATGAGCTAAAAACACAGTGAGACACACTACACACACCAGAAGGCAGAAATTACAAATAGTGACATCACATGTTTGATAGCCCTGGAAACTGAAACACTAGTCATCTCCAGCAGGACAGTACAGTGGTACAGGTCACTGAAGTACAGGGCAGTGTTGTTATCAATGTTAATATCCTAGTTGTGATACTATCAGTTGTCAAGATAGTACCATGGGGTGGAAATTGGGCAAAGAGCTGATGGAATCTATTCTTTCTCATAGCTACATAGGAAAATTTGATTGCCTCAAAATAATTGTAGAGAGGACTTATTAGGTGAACAGAGGCATGAAAGTAAATCACATTCTTTCATTCAGTCGTAGAGATGAGGCAGCTATTACAAACTGCAGCAGCAGTGACCTGCCCTCCCACACCCAAGTGTTGAATGTATTCACCTAACTGAAAAATAAGTGAAGGCTTGAGGATTCAGCCTCATGGTAGAGATCTTGCCTGCTGAGCATAAGGACCTGGGTTTTGTACCTCACACTGAAAACCACCACCACCAAACATCTAGTGAACTACAAGATAAAGCAGAAGAAACACAACCCCCTTTTTTTTTCTAAGTTTCAAAAGGATGATAGCAAAACACAGAAGCCAGAGTAAAAGACAGATACACAAAACAGACTACGCTGTGTGTTGCAATGTTTAATCTTGTTCACTTGGTTAGATTGAAAACAGTAAAGTGTTTCCAAAGAGGCTTAAGTAATTGGAAGCCCTCTATGTGGGAAGCTATATCACCTAGTCTGAAAGCCTGGATGGGGGCTGGGGGAGCCTCCAGTGTTAGCACTCTCTCCTTGCTTTCTGGCTGCTATGATGCGATCCATTCTGTCCCACCATGCCCTCCCCTTGCCAGTTCCTTAGATGTTTACTGTGAGTTAAAAGTGGCAGCTAAAAGAGTACGTGTGGGAATTGTTCTGAAATGACAGGAAAACTGCGTAGACATCTGGGAAATGTTGACCTCATACCTCATAGCTACAATGACATTAATCCCAAATATGTCAAAGTGTAAATATTGCAATAGATACAAGATTATAGTTTCACAGGTAAAACTAAAATTGCCAGGGATCTTAGCGTAAAGATAATTATTTATACTGTTTAAATTAATGGTACTTGCTAGATCTAGACTAACATATTTACTAACAATCCTATTGCTTCTTCCAACCTAAATTCTACACCACAACACAGCTTATTTAGTCTTTTATCTAGAATATGCAACCTAAAATAAAAAATGGCAGTGTGTCAAAAAAAAACTAAAAAAATTTCAGCTATGTAAATAAATCACCATAAATCAAGCTGAAAGTCAAGCTACTATGGAACGTACATAGTAGCTTATAGCTTACCAAAATTAATCTTTGAGGCATGTGGTATGCCAACAAATACCTCTAGGCACAGGTCTGGTTGCTAATAGTACCAAAACAATAGGCCTTGACATTTTAGTTCATTGAGAATTTTAAAAGAAATTTAGTTTTTTACATGGTAAGAATACACATAATGGCACAGAAGTAAGGATTTGCCAGTAAAATCTCTTACTAGAAGGATCCTGGATAGAGCTAGGAGCAGGCCTGTATTCCCAGCAAATGGGAGGAAGAGACAGGAGGAACAGGAGTGTAAGGTCGTCCTTGGCTACATGGTGAGTTTGAGATCAGCATGAGATACAACATGAGATGCTGTTTTGAAGCAAAAAGAGGGAAAGGAGTGGTGGCTGTCTGGAGGCAAAGAGCAGGTACATTTCCCTGGCTCTCTCTGCAATATTTCACAGCTTCCTGTTGGCTCAGGAATCACTGGTGTTTGCCTAGGATACTGTGTGTCAAGGAACCCCAGAGTCTTGCTTGGAGATTTTTATATTTTGCTGATCATAAAGACAGAATTTTGCTGAGACTAGGCAACCTGCCTCAGCAGAAGGCCTCTCTCTTTGGGACTCATTAAAACCAAGGACAAATCATCTTTTGTGCTGTTATCAATAATCAGTGCTGACAAATTAGTCATATTCTGGTCCCCAAATTCTCAGACTCACAGTTACAAGCTGCACCGTTAACCAGCTGGCATCATGTCTTGTCTGAAGGTCATCACCGAGTGAACCCGAGAAGCACGGCTCAGCCTGATTCGAGGCTTGCTAGTTAGTTAAGACAGCACGAGAAAGCAAGGGAAAGTACCAGAAAGGCAGCTGATGAGGCTATAATCACACATTTCACAGACAAGAAAATACATCCAACTGTTTATGTCTGTGAAGATTTCAATGTCAAACAGAAAGAGAACTGGAAATGCAGGTAACTTTGAAACAGTGTGTGAACAGCATATATGGAGGGTAACTTAGAAATACTGAATGAAATTTAAATGTCTTCTGCTCTAGCCACTCATCATTTTTTTTTTTTCCCCATGTGTCCAGGGCCAGAGTGTATCACTTCACGTGGGATGGGCTCTCAAAGTCCCTTCTTGCACCAGGGAAAAATACTAATCCACCACCAGAGGCTCCCTGGAGTGCGGTAGCCTCCTTATTGACGTCCATGTTCAGGGGTCTGGATCAGTCTTGTACTGGACTCCCTGACAGCATCTGGGGTCGATGTGCTCTCCCTTGTTCAGGTCAACTGTTCCTGTGGGTTTCTCCAACCTGGTACAGACCCCTTCGTACATTCCTCCCTCTCTTCAACTAAATTCCCGATTTCGGCTCAGTGTATTATCTATGGATGTCTGTCTCTGCTTCCTTCAGCCACTGGGTGAGGGCTCTAGGATTCTAGCCACTCATCTTAAAAATAGTTTACAAATGTGTAAAATGAGGCAAGACTGAGATTTTTTTTTTTTGCGTGTGGATTTGTGAGTGTGTGTGTGTGTGTGTGTGTGTGTGTGTGTGCTCATACCAGTTCATGTAGATATGGCTGTGTGTTTTTTTTGGGGGGGGCAGAGAACAACCTTGGGTATCATTCCTCAGGAACCCTCCACATTTTTTATAGCTACATAGTCTCTTTTTTGCCTTCAGCCACATAGAGTAAGCTTAGGCAGCCAGGGAGCTCCAGAGATCCAATTGTCTCCATCTCCCTAGTGTTGAGATTACAAGTGTGCACCACCACCACACCCAGTTTTTTTTGGGGAATTTCTGGGAATGCAGGTCCTCATGCTAGCTCAACAAGCACTTTCTATAAACTGAGCTATCTCACCAGCCCCAAGACTAAGATTCTTTAATCAGCATTTTCCCGCTTGTCATTCATGAGGAGGAGCCATTTGAGACTAAAACCATAGTGGTCTTGCCCACTGTGTATGAGACCCTAGGTTCAATTCCCAGAGCTGCAAAACAAACAAAACTATCATTTAATTAATTTTTAAAATGGTACCAAAGAACTGCTGAAGAACTTCCTACCCTGTTATAGTAAGTCAATGAGTGAGAGCTTTTTGAGTATGTAACGGAACAAATACTAAAATATACTTAAGTAATAACATCAAATGTTCACCACCATGTAAATAGGTTGTCACCCTTTGCATAAAAGATTGAACAGGAATTTTATATTGATTGATTTGATTTTAATTAAAGTATCTGGGGAAAATGTATTTAAGAACTTAATAGCTTTATCTGCTCTTAGAGAGTGAGACTAGGTGAGCAAAGGAAAGGAATGGCCAAAATGTTTGGTTGTTATTGTTTTGCTTTGTTTATTTTTGTGTCATTTGTAATACTTGATTCTTGAATAATTTAAATTTTAAACAAAAACCCAAAGCCAGGCAAATCATGCCCTCATTCTCACTGATAGTTTTCTTTGATTGGTGTTGTAAAATGTCAGTATTTTATGAGGAATGTATGCCATTGGCACAGTTTTCCAGGTGTCCTCTCTTGCAATGAATCAGCAGGAAAGACTCATTCAACAGGACAAACAATTGCTGAACCTCACACAGTGGCAGAGAAACTACACCCTGCAGATGAAAAACTGCCAAGCCTTGCAACAGAGATCTCCCCGTTCAGGTAACTGACAGAGGATCAGTGTGTTTCTGCATTGTTTGTCATATAGCCTAGGGTGGCCAGAACTTATGATGAATGGCTTCCAACTTGTGGTGACTCTCTTTCCTCAGCTTCCTAAGTGCTGGGATCCCAGACACCATGCTCAGCTAAGAATAAGTAATCTCAGTGGAGACCCAAACGTGTGCAGCATCTATTCAAAAGAAACGATTTCGTGTAGCCCGTTCTTTATGGATTACTAGCGTGTGGAGTGTGGGCTAAGATAGGTCTGAAAGATGGAAAATAATGAGGACATGAAAAGACAGGTGAGGTCCTTACCCAGGAATCTGGTTGTAACTTCTCAACCACAGGAAAGTGAGATTCCAGGGCCCGTAGTTACAACTTTTCTCCCTCCAGTTGTAAACCTGCAATTTTCTAGGAACCAGGTAGAAATCTTCTTACAGGGAAAGGACAGGTACTGAACTCCTGTGCAGCCCTAGTGGCCCCTGGTTTTACCTTATTAGATTGTAATTCCACCCAAGGCATCTCCAGAGCTGCCTGATAGTCTCACTTACCACAATGCAAAGATTTCTTAGAAATATTTTGGGCTGTAATTCTAGAGCCCGCAGAACTGCACCCAGGCCTAGTATGAGGACAATTGCTTGTGGCTTTCTTTGAGGAGCCCATACCCACACATGAATATGTCTTAGTTTTGGCAGCTCAGCCTTAGGGAAGCCCACACCCGCGCTTTCAGGTGGCTCTTACTTTTTTCTCAGTGGCTCTCTTTCGCCTAACTCTCATGCTTATTAAAGTCTATGTTAAATTATCTTTCATAATCTCCTCCTCTGTTTCAAACTGTCTTTTTCTGTGCCCCGCCCCCCCAAAATCCCAGTTTGTGCAGAGTTCCTGTCCCTGAAAGATTATCTGAACGCTTTGTGTTGCTGAGAGTCCCAGCACTGAGCTCTCTCTGTCCCTTCACAGCTGACAAGTCTGACATAACATTTGTTGTTCTGCAGTTAGTTCAGCTTCTTCTGCATCTCCCAACGAAATGGTGAAAAGACTGAAATTCCTTAAAAATTCAGCTAAACAAATCCTACATCAAAATCAAGTGGAATGTGTGTGATTCCTAAGCTAGGCTTTAAAAATCAACCCAGTCACTCAAATCTAGGCCTATTTTCAATTCTAGCTCCAAACGTCCCAATTCATCTAATTTGACTCTTGCTTTAGACTCAATTATAGATAACTAAGCATAAAAGGTTGCTGTTGTAAAGACCTGCTTTCAGCAGCTCAGAAACTGAAGGGGAGGTGAGTAGTTGGTGAACTAATCACTCAATGAACTTTTTATCTGAGGGAGTAAGACTTAATTCTCTGGGGCCATCGAAAAAGGAAAATACACACACACACACACACACACACACACACACACACACACACACACTGAGATACTCTCTACCTTCTTTATTTCTTTCCTTACTTCTTTTCTGATGTATTCCCTCCTGTCTCTCTCCTGATGTCTTCCTTCTATCTAATTTTATTTTTCTGTTACAGCTTATAACCCCCAAAAAATCTTCCAAGAAATATGAAGATTGCAATGTGGTTGCATTCTGTTTTTCAGGTTAATGATTACAATGTATAGAAGGAAAAAAAAAAAACGGCATGTTTCTCAGTTCCCTTACGTGACTAAGCATTTTACATATTACAAAAATTATTTTGAGCGGCCCATATCTAAGCAACTTGTTATAGATTAACAAAGGGTGAGCAAGTAAGGTATTTTTCTCCACCAGTTCTTTCACTTGCAGGTTGCATTTTGCAGTAACAAAGGAAGGATCAATCTCAAAAGGTAGCATTGTAAAAATCTTCGAAGTATCACAAATTTATTTTTATGCATGAAAACCAGTCATTTTCACTTTAAAACCCCAGGGTAAATACCCTCTCATCAACATTTTTTTTTATTAAATCATATCAGGAAGCTGAGGGTAGCAACAGGTGCAAGGAAACAGTCACCATCTTTGATCATCGACCCATTCTAGCAAGAAAGCTACATCAGCCAGCAAGAGCCAGGCTACTGTTGTTTTCATTCCGTGACCTCAATGAGTCCCTTGCTCAACTATTAACACTGTGCCTTTCTAAACTTTAAATTGTTCCCCAAGAATTTTGACCTCAATCCATCAACAAAAACACCTTAACCTACCCTTCCCAATAATTCTACATATCTACATTTATTTTTCTAAGTGTGGTGATGGAATCATTAATCTGCTCCAATAGCAATGCTTGGAAAAGTCAATCACTATTATTCTAAGTATGAGTGACACTGCCCATTGAGTGGCTAGAAACCCCCTGAGAGTTTTCATATAACTCATAGATTATGAGGGGCATGTTGACCATGAGGACAATAAGCAGAGCTATGCATAATAACAGCACGAGATCCTCAGGACATGTAATCCTTGGAGCTCTGTCTTCCCAACACCACCCCGCCACCCAGCATCGTCCTGTGAGTTCCAAAGATTGCTATTCTTCTTGCAGGGCTCCTGGAAAAAAATTGACTTTGGAAATCAGACTATTTATCATAAAAGACTCTTTTTTTTCTAAAAGCTTATAGAGCTAATTCAGTTTTATCTTTTATGACTATTTTAAGCCTAAAGTTGTGTTACTACCTGCTTTACAGTTTGTTCAATATTCCATGGTGTCTTAATACTTATTTAGGAAGTTAAATTCCCTCTAGAGGATGCCATTTGAATTTTGAATTGATGTGAAAAGAAAAATCTACCATATTTTTCTTTAGAAACACAAGATTTATTGTTTAAATGTATGTGTATGTGTGGGGAGGTATCTGTGTGGGGATATGGACAAGTGAGTACAAGTGCCAGAGGAGGCCAAAGACATCAGATCCCCCTGTAGCTGGATTTACAGACAGCTCCCAGCCACTCAACTTAGATGCTTGGAACCTAACTTGGATCCTTTGCAAGAACAGTATGTGTTTTCAACTTCTTTTTTTTAAAAAAAATTTTTATTAGTTCAAATTAGAAACAATCTTGCTTCACATATCAATCCCTTCTCCCTCTCCCTCACCAGGGAAAAATACTGACCCACTACCAGGGGCCCCTGAGTCACCACTACAGTCTTCATAGTTCCTTCTAATTGAACATTTAATTCAAAAAATTGTTTGCAGAGTCACCCGGTGTCAATAGTGTTCTTATATATAACAGTTTATCATAAGCATGAGTCAGACCCCCCTCTGAACCATCAACACTGACTACAAAGATAACCTGTTTTGGAGATCTGCTGAACCGTCTTGTTCTCCAACCTTCCAAACACCATTTCAACACTAACTCCCAATCCCCGCCCCCCCGACTATCATATCGCTCAGCAGGCTGATTAGCACTGATTCCAAACACAAGCTACTGTAAAGTCTCAAAGGACTCAATATTCCATCTTGGAAACCACACATGAAGGGTTTCTCACCCCACATGAGTGCTACTCTCTAGTAACCAGTGTTCTATGTGTTTCCCTGTCTCCATCTTTAAGACTCTGCTAGAACTTCTCATGAAATCTATGCTGTTTAGTTCCTCTGTGTGCAGGTCATTGACTGTCCTTTGAGAGTGTATTCATTCTTAAGACATGTTCCTTATACAACACATTTAATATTGAAGCCTAGTTCTTAGTTATAGTGAAGCCCTAAGACGTGTTTCTTTATGTGTCCAGCACACACCTACTTGTTTCCAAGTCACTCTTTGCATGCATTAATTGATCTCTCATGCACATGAAATTTTTTTCTTCCTTAAGTCTCACAATTACAACACCAACTCAAGGCTTACTTCTCATCCTAGTCAATGACTCAGTGGGGAAAAATAGACCAATTTCTGATACAGGAGGAAAGATTTAGATGGAGTTATGTCCACATTGATTTTTAACTGAAACGAACTATCAGAGAGCTGTTTCATATGGAAATTATTTAAACCTTGTTGTGCCCAGCCTCAGAGAAGCTGGGCAGGCAGATGCTGCATCACAAGTCCTGTTTGGTTATTTTGAGGGAGTTGGGATGCCAGTTTCTGCATTGATGACAATTAAGAAAACTTTTGTGTTTTGAAGGTAGTAACTGCAGCCCTTGTCCACACAACTGGATTCAGAATGGAAGAAGCTGTTACTATTTCTTTCAAATCTGGGAAATTTGGAATCGCAGTAAGGAGAATTGTTTAAAGGAAGGCGCCAGTCTCCTTCAAATAGACAGCAAAGAAGAAATGGTAAAGACTCTTCTATGATTTCATGTCATTCTGAAAAGTCCATGCTACTCATTAAAATGAAGTACAGATTCTCAAAGATAGGATTTCTTAATTTTTAATAGCAGCGGTATATTTTAATATAAAAATAGGGACAAAGTAAAGATTTATGCAATTTACTTTCCCGTCAGTTGGAGAGTTGAAAATGAAGTTCATTTTCCAGAATTTGAGGAATACAGGGGTTTTATGTCCAGACAACCCACAAAGGGGAGGACGAGGGTGACTGAGCTGTGACCTGCTCCCTGAGTACATATACATCTCAGCTGGGATGCTCTTAAATGTATATGCTCAGCGCTACAGGAAACAGAATCCTCTGTAACACTCATAGTTCACAGGGAGAGATAGAGGTCTGAAGACTGAAGTCCTGCTCTGCATGTGACGACACAGGCGTGTAAATCCAGCACCTGGAAGGTCGAGAGAGGAGGAGCTCCAGTGTGAGGCCTGCGCACCAAAACCCTGCCTCAAAAACAGCAAAAGTCACAAAGAATAAAACCTGAAGTGATGCCACGAAATGAATTGGCTTGTAAGACTGAGCATTCAATAAGTGAAATGTTAAGTTTGCTAACCTGGCTTACTAGGATCTTGATAAGTAAGCAGTACAATGTTGGCTGACGCCATTCCATCCCTAAACTGAATATCTGAAGAGAAATTCATAGGTGTTTCTCACCCTAATAAAAATGTTCAATAGCTTAAGTTCAGTTTAAAAAAAAAAAACAACGGGAAATGTTAAAAATACACAGTAAACAAAGAAGGTTTAAACTACAGTATTATTACTATTTAAAAATTACCCTCTCCAAAGATTTGATGACAAAATAAAACATGCTTCATCTAACAAAATGTGCTCACAGTGAGTTGGGGCTGGAATCTCCAAAACTTCACGTATTAAAATATACTAGGGGAGAAATTGACTCACATGGTGAATGAAGGAAGCTTAATTTTTAATTTTGATGATGAAGGGTCAATATTAAGACTTACTTTGCTTTAACACTTATTAGCTGCCATACTGGGAATCTATTAAAACTTTAATACCAGATGCACATATTTTCATAGTATTTAACACACTGTATTGACTATACAGCAGAAGAATAGTGTGTGTGTTTGTGTGTGTGTGTGTGTGTGTGTGTGTGTGTCCCCAATACACTTTAATATCTACTTTTTTTCTTCAACATTCAAGTTTTCATTAATTTCTGATTTGGCAAAAAATCATACTTTATATTGCATAGTAGTTTGGGTTGTTATTTACTTTTCTGAATTTACAGTTTGTGTCTTTTTTTTATAGGATTTTCTCATCCAGAGCCTATGGAAATTCAAAGATGGGTACTGGGTGGGAGTGTATCATGATGAACCCAGTCGATCTTGGTTCTGGTTAGATGGCTCTTCTCCTCTCTCTGACTTGTAAGTGTATGAAGGAGACATTACAGGGAAAACTAGGAATGTGGAAAAATTTTAAAAGTTTATTTTGCTCAGGAGATGTTGTCCCTTTCCCCTTCTCTGGGGGACCATGTATGTCTCTCTTAGAGTCCTCCTTGTTGCCTAACTTCTCTAGTGGTGTGGATTGTAGGCTGGTAATTGGGACAGAAGGAGGGATGAGCAAAGGGGTCAAGACCAGGCTGGTGAAACCCACAGAAACAGCTGGCCTGCACAAGTGGGAGCTCTTGGCCCCCAGACTGATCACTGGCAAAACAGCATGGAACTTATCCAGACTCCATGAATGTGGGTGTCAGTGAGGAGGTCTCGCAAATCTATGGGGCCTCTTGTAGTAGATCAGTACTTATCCCTAGCATAGGAATGGACTTTGGGAGCCCATTTCACATAAAGATATACTCCCTTAGCCTAGACACACAGGGGAGGGCCTAGGCCCTATCCCAAAGGATATGACAGACTCTTAAGACCCCCCATGGAAGACCTCTCTCCCTGGGGAGCAGAAATGGTATGGGATAGGTAGGCTGTTAGTGGAGGGCAGGGGTGGAGGGGAGGGTGAGGGAACTGGGATTGACATGTAAAACAATCTTGTTTCTAATTTAAATTAAAAAATGGAGGAAAAAAAGTTTACTTTGTGCCTTGTATTTCTCGTAGAAAACATAGAATCATGATGCTTTAAGAGGGTACTGACTAGAATTATAACTGACATACTTAAGACTTGGCTTTGGTGTTTCTATTGCTTTGATGAAATGCTGAAACACCATGACCAGAAAGCAAAGTTGGGGAGGAAAGAATTTATATAGCCTACACTTCCATATAACTGGAAGTGAATCAGGACAGGGACACAAACAGGGCAGGAACCTGGAAGCAGGAGCTGATGCAGAAACCATGGGAGGTTCTGCTTACTGGCTTGCTCCTCATGGCTTTCTCAGCCTGCTTTCTTGTAGAATCCAGACCACCAGCCCAGGCATGGCACCATCCACAATGGGCTAAGCCTCCACCATCTATACTGGCTTGCTCCTCATGGCTTGCTCAGCCTGCTTTCTTGTAGAATCTGGACCACCAGCCCAGGCATGGCACCATCCACAATGGGCTAAGCCTCCACCATCTATCACTAATTAAGAAAATGCCTTACAGGTTTGCCTACAACCAGATATTATGGAGCTATTTTCTTAACTGAAATTCCCTCTTCTCAGATGACTTTAGCTTCTGTGAAAAGTTGACATAAAACTATCCAGCACAGCTTCTAAATCTTCTTCATCAATTCCCCTATCATCATCCTCTAGAAAATTCTTATCATAATTCCAGTGCCTAGATGAGCAATCAAATGCAAGTATCAAGAACATTATTTGTGTAACAGTGCTGAGAGAGCCTTCTGGTCAAGAGACTATAATAACTACTGAGCAGTTTCTATATTGAGCTTTCTAGATGGGAACAGAAATTGGTGGACACAATCAGGTGCCTTAGTATTTCGAGAACGGAGTCAAGAGAAACACACTAGCTAGAACCTACCTCTATGTAAACATGGCTTGGGTTTCTTTATAGGCTGTTTGTTCAAATTATATCAATCAATGTATTTTTATTAAAACCAAATAGCTGTTATTTGAAGGAGGATAGGACCTAGATAGAAGAATGCCACGTCAAAGCAAATTAAAATAAATCCAACGGTATCTCTGGAGTATTTTCTTGTCAAATGCCACTGTTATCTTCAAATGTAACCTCTAACCTGGGCATCTAACTTACTTTTGCAGGTTGCCAACAGAGAGACAGTTACCTTCCAGCCAGATCTGCGGATACCTCAAAGACCAATCCCTCTTCTCAGATAACTGCAGCAGCTGGAAATATTTTATCTGTGAGAAAAACGCACTAGGATCCTGCATCTAAAGATACAGCTCAAAGCCATCTTTGTTGCACAAAGGTTTGGAAGGGGTCAAAGAGCAAATGCAGGAGGAGACTAGTGTGTGGGTCCTGAAGGCAAACTTGCTTTTATATTTATCCTTGGCAGCACTCTTAAATGTTTTACAGATTTCGGTTGACATTGTCCTATAGCATACAGAGGAGAAAATATATTTAGAACTACAGAAGCCCTGACTCATTGAGAACAAAGAAGAGAAAATCATTTCCTGTTTGTTTGGAAGTCCAAAGTGACTACCCATGTCACAAAGAAATCTAGTCATCATTGTAGAAGTTTTACAGTAATCCCTGATTTGTTTTTTAAATAAATTTACCACTATACTTAACAACTGATTGATTTTTCTTCAGACCAGCTTGCAGGAATTGTATATTATAAACTCACACCCTGAGGGGAGACAGACAGGTAGATTTACAAACTGTAGTGTTACCACCAACCATACGTCTGGGGTCCTTTGGCTCTAGATAGAAATGAGCAGGATGGGAGACTTGGCTGGTAGTCTTCCTCTGAGGGCCAAGGCCTTGCAGTTCCCAAACCTTGGAGCTTCGGGTCTACTGCTCTAGGATCTGAGTGTGCAGGCTGGAGGCTTATTGCTCTGGGATTTAATTACCACTGGCCCCAGCTCTTGGCAGTTTTGAAATCCTTGACCTTCAGCAGCAGCAACAGAGAAGAGCCATCAGTAACAGCAGGCAGCTCCCACTAGTGTTACGGTTCTTGGATGGCTATTCCTGGGGCCCACTGTTTCTCTTCTCTTGCGTCTGTACTCAGCCTTGCTTTTCTGCCTTTTCTCTTATTGTCCGCCATTCCTTGGTGTCTCTCTGCTTCTGCGTCCCATCCTTTCTGCCATGGCCACTCTCCAGAATTCTTCAGCTGTTCCCTTGACCATCTCTACAGCCCCAGTGATGGTGACAGCTGTCACCACCACAGCAGTAGCTGTTTCTGGTGTTGCTTCTGCCTTTGCTTCTGTCCTGTACTCCTGAAGCTTCTCTTGTGTGACCAGCTCAGCCCACTCTTCGAATGATGAAGAGCAAAGGAGACACCAAAGGACCATTCAGGAAGTCTTTCATTGGTCCTAATGTTGCAACATCGGGAGTGTCAGAGCAGGGGTCTCCCGGCTGACTCTAAAACTGAAACAACTCACTTAGTAGACAAGAAGAGGGTGTGACGAGGGTGTCTGCATCAGTCATGCAGCGCTTCAAGGGTTGTGTTTGCACAATTCACAGCGAGCGCATATACTTCTTTACACATTCACAGGTCTTCCCTGGGGCCACAGGTTGGAAGTACTCCCTCTCTGGCCAGAGTGTGAATAGCTGCAGAATAGACCGGGCCATTGCAGTTCGCCAAGGAGTACTGCTTTCCACAGGCTGTTCCAGCTATGGGAGCAGTCACAACTGGACCCTGTCTTCATTCATGAGGTAGTGGTCCTCTTCAGCAGCTAGAGTGTCCTCAGAGTGAAGTGTCCAAATTGTTGGACTGCCATAAGGGCAGTCTGGCCAGTTGTTAGTAAAGAGGTTGCTTGGCTAATAGCTTGAATTATTCACAGGCATTAAGGGCCTGTTTACAATAAAGACTTAATAAAACCCAACATATTACAATTTTAGTAGCATTCAACCATGCTTGTAGAAATTAACATTTATCAGGGTCTAACTCCTGCCCCAAAGCTGTAGAGTCATTGACTCCATCTGATCTGTCTCGGAAGGAATGAAGGCTTCTTCTATACGGAGAGTTGGACTGTGCTTTTCAGGCTGCTGAGTTCTCCTGGAGAAGGAACCCATAAAACTTCACGTAGGTGAAGGAATAGCCAGGACCTCAGCATCGTCATGTCCTTCAGTGTAGGTGGGACCATCCATCCCACCACCCACCAACCAAACAGCTCACAGTCTGCAAAGGCCAAGATTAACAACCTAGCACTTTCCACTGCTGGTCTTCATGTCTCAATTTCCCCACTATAAAATCACAGTATAATTCACTTCAAAATACTGCCTAAACCGAACTAGGCCCCCTGAATGTGGGTGTCATTTAGAGGACTTGGGCAGTCTATAGTGCTGCTGGCAAGATTATCCCTACTGCATGAACTAAGAACTGGCTTTTTGGAGCCCATTCCCTATGGAGGGATACTCTCTCAGCCTAGATACACAGGGGAGGTCCTAAGGCCTGCTCCAAATGATGTGACAGATTTTGATGATCCCCATAGGAGACCTCACCCTCTCTGAGGAGTGGATGGGGGTAGGATGGGGAAATGGGAGGGTGTTGGAGAATGGCAGGGGGAGGGGACTGGGATTGATATGTAAAATAAGATTATTTTAGTTTAAATAATAATAGTTAAAAATACTGCTTAAGAATGTAACCCTAATGTTGCATACAAACTATAGAAAATGATATTTTAGGTAGGAAAGTTGAAAGGAAAATACTTGCCATCTAATCTACAGGAAGGAAAGATTTGATGATTATTGTTATCATATTCCTGTCCACCATATGCCATCTCTAAACCTTACTGCAAAGCATACTCTCAATAATTAGTTGCTAAATTCAATGTGATGGAATTTATTTCCATTCTAACAAGAAGACACTGAGACGTACAAGATTTCATCTTTTCCTTCTTATTAAAATGGCATAACTTAGATAAATCATTTATAAAACCTGATTTACTGAGGCAGCAGAAATGATTAAATTGAAACTCAGCATCCTTTAGCCTGAAGTTCATTTCTCAGTGTCTGTGGTCCCATAACAAGGAGAAGATTGTGTCTGTGTCTTGTTTTTGTTTATTTACCTTGACATGACATTTAAAGTGTGGCAGCACGATCACACACACACACACACACACACACACACACACACACACACAAAGAAGAAATAGGAATTTCTCTAGTCTTCTGCTGATCCTGGGAGAATAAATACCCCAGAGACCTTGGAAGTTGTAGGCTGTTTGGTTTTCACAGCTGGCAGCTGGTAGCTAAATATACTAGTCTGGAAAACAGAAACAATGGTGATTTTTAACAGTAAAGACTGTTTGTCTCTGAGATTCTTCAAAGGCTTGTCATTGGACTATGTTTAAATAAAGGATGGGAAGCACTGATGATTCTTCTCAAAAAAAAAGTACAAGGAAACAAACTGCAAACATCCTCCGGCTGATGTTATCCGCCCTGTATATATACTGTGTTTACAAGCCAGAGATTTATCTACAGTGCAGCTGTTATAAAGGTCTGCAATGCCCTATGAAGCCATTGCTGCACCTACCAGATGCAGGGGTTAGGAAAGTTCTCAGTGCAGGTTGCTAGAGATCTAGGATATCTGTCCTTTTTTTATGGTAATTAGCCATAAGAGGACCAGTTTCATGTCCCAATCCTATTCATGATGAATTAGGTACTTTTAATCCATCTAACCGAGTGAACTTATTAAAAAGAGAAAATGGTAATTCCTCTGCAATTGGAAACAGGTTTTGCTATATAGTATTGCACACTAAATGCACCAATACTGAAATAATTATACTGGTAGAGTAATAAATCTGTGGTTAGCGTCTAAAGATCTATTCCTACAGTGAGTTTTGTGTATCTTAAGTCACACGGTATTTCATGTGTGTATTTGAAAACCTGCACTTGACTCCCAAACATTAAAGCTGGCCCCAGGACAACCACTCAACTCTTGTACCTAGTTTGTAATCTGTTTGTATTCTTCAAGTAAACGCTGGAGAATTACCATTATCCTTCTCAAACTTCCTGCTGTCACCAGGCTCCTCCTGAGCTGTTTCCTGCTGATAAGTCCTGAGAGTGTTCAATATCCTCAGGAAAAGAAATAGCTCATTGTGTACCCGAGGGAGCACACTCTATGGGAAAGGCCACGTTCCTTGTTTGACTCTTCCTGCACTTTCTTCACAATTACCTACACAGTAGAAGACTAGAAAAATGCCTTCTCATCCCTCTTGTCCTGAAAAAGCAAGTTTGTGTGGTTTCCATTTTTGATTATCAGCAAACCTTTCCTCAAAATTCATTTTATGATTGATTCTATGTCTTCAATGTTTGTGGAGGCGATATTGTACCATACCCCCATTTTTGGAATTTTGGTTATTTTGTTATCAGTACTATCAGGTTTGGATACAGAAAGGGGGACTAAGGGCAATGATGAAGAATAAGATCACAAAAAAGAAATGTAAAAAAATAGAAATTTTCTCCTTTCCACCTGAAATGACACTTAACTTGAGATCTCAGATTGCAAATGAGAATGCTATTCAACCTTTAGAGAGTTGGACTTTTCCAATCAATGGTAGTTAGAGAGACACATGTCTTCCCTCTGGGAGCCCAAATGCCAGGAATCAAAACTTAAATGAGAGCTGTGGCCTTTGTTTGCAATTAAGTACACAAAGTTTTTGACTTTTTCTTGCTGACTACTGTTCCCTTGTGCAGTAGGTTTATACAACATTGTTTAATGATGGCCTTGATCTTTATTTCTTATTTTGTAGGTTATTGTATTAGCTGTTTTAACTGAGCAGGGAAAACAGTCATCATTTTGTAAATTATGAGAACTATTTAAGAATATTTTCGTCTTTAATGACTACAGAGACTGCATCTGCTTTCCCCTATATTTAAATAAGAATCACTAAACCATTTAAAATATGTCCTAAATTTCCCTTACATTTTCTATTACAACCTACATGATGAGACTAACTTCACATTTACTTTAAGTAACATCGTAGAGAAATTAAAAATATTTCCAGTTTGATCAGCTACATGAAGTGATGTGATTTGCTTAATAAATAAATCAAACCAAATTTAAAAACTACAAGTACACTTCTGTTTGCTTGACACAGTAAACCTGCACAGAATTTGTTCATCATTGAAGAAATCCCCTAGCTTGTTAGAAGGAAATCTAAACGAAAACTTAAGTAGCCTGCCAGTAATGTTTAGGGAAGTGACCATTATCAAGTCTTATGAAAATAAATACAGATTTGTTCTAATCACAAAAGGGCTAATTAAATGTAATTTCACAATGAAGTAGATGTTTCCTAGTTTTTCCTGTGTAAAACTAAGAGCGTGAAGTCTGATACTGGGTGCTGTCAACCCCATAAAACTGGTTCATCTATAACCAATGAAGCCAGTTGACCTGGTGCTATTCACAATGACCCCTGGTATGGCTTTGAATGTCATCACCTAGTGAAACTCATGTCTAGCCAAGAGTCTTGTTTCTTTTTTTCTCTCCTCCAATGCCTGGTTAGAAATAATGTGGTCTATCACACCTCAGTTACTCATCATACCAACCTCGATGTCATGATTTTGCTACAATCATTTCACTTTAACAATATCATAAAGCTATCCTCTTGAAGACAATTTGCTTTGGACACTTTCTTATCCTCAAATATTCCCTAAACAAGATCATCAGAGTGGCCCCACCGATTGTCAAGGTTCAAGTAGTCAAAGCATTCCCTTCCTGATTTTCCCCCAAATCATAAATCCATTGGAAAACCACACCCATTTCACATTTTTTCACACTTATTATTATTAAATATTCAGTACCTGAAAGGTAGAAATATGGTTCAAATGGGACGGAGGAAGAAATCAAACTATTACGTGTGCATGTAAAGGAACTGATTTTTTTCTCTACCCCAGTCTCCTTGATGGAGTATAGGGAGAGTAATTCTAACTTCAATCAGAGTTAAGATCATCTCTTTCCTAGGAGATATGATTAGGGGAAAAGACACACTTGATGGAATGGAGACCGACACAATGAGAGCCATCTCAGTTGAAAAGGTGGCCACTGGCAAAGCAGGTGAAATCATTGCTGAGAGCCTGGGAAAGGCAAAGTGTGAACTGGAAACAAACAGAATTAGCTGTGAGAACAACGGCGCAGGAGTGGGATGTCTGCTAGTTTCCTGTGGACTTCCTGTTAGGATAAAGAACTCAACTTCCTTTTTTTTTTCTGTTCTGTTTTGCTTTGATTTTCTCCTTTCTTCTTTCTTTTTTTCTCTCTTGTTCTTTTGTTCCTTCTTTCTGTTTGAGAAGTGGTTCTCATACAGCCTACGATGGCCTCCAACTTGTTATGTAGCTGAGATGTCCTTAAAATTTTCAGGTCTTTTACCTTCCAAATGCTGAGAGTTAGAAGGCACCCATCCTCGTGTGGACTTCACTACACACAGTTGGTGGCTTCACATCAACTCCTCTTTTCTTATGTGTCTCTCTTTTCCTAGTGTATGGGAGTCATGGAAAAGAGGTTGAAAACAGACACCAAGAAGGGAGACAGCTGAACGGCTTCTGCCCTCCTTCAATCAAGGACGTTTGTGAGTAAGAATCCTTTGACAGGCACATTTGTGCAAGAACCTGAAACTCAGTTATGGATGATGCTGAGCCAGAATGAGAAGAATCTCTCAAGTACCAGTCCCAGCAGCTGACTCTCTGTTTCCCAAAGCTTTGAATGCCCTTTGCGTTGGCCTCACTTGACCCAGTCCTTTTGCTGGTGGTTGAGGCTGACTGTTGGCCCCCTCCGCTCAGTGGTTCATGCCACCTGCTGGAGCACCTCGGGTACCACTTACCCTGCCAGCCTCTCACAGGCACACCTCCTCAGCTCTTTGCAGTCCTTTGAGTAAGCCTTTCCATTGAAGATGGTCATACAGTCCCTGTTTCTTAGGTTGGTGGGATCGATTATAATCTCAAACCTTAAGAAAGAGAAAGAAAATTTAATTTGATCAGAGCTTGCTTCTTTAAAAAAAACTATATTTAAATTAAAAACAATCATATTTTACACACCAATCCCAGTTCCCTCTCCCCCCATTCTCCCATTCCTCCCACCAGCCCCCACCCCTGTTCCATCCCCTATCCACTCAGCAGGGAAGGTGAGGCCTCCCATGGGGGGTCATCAAAGTCTGTCACATCATTTGAAGCAGGATCTAGGCTCTCCCCTATGTATCTAGACTGAGAGAGTATCCCCCTCCACAGGGAATGGGCTCCCAAAGCCCATTTGTGTGCTAGGCACAAATACTAGTTCCACTGTCAGAGACCCCATAGACTGTCCAGGCCCCCCGACTGACACCCACGTTCAGAGGGCCTGGTTCAGTCTTATGCTGGTTCCTCAGCTGTCAGACTGGGATCTGTGAGCTCCCACTTGCTCAGATCAGCTGTTTCTGTGGGTTTCCCCAGCATGGTCTTGACCCCTTTGCTCATCACTCCTCCCCCTATGCAACTAGATTCCAGGAGTTTGGCTCAGTGCTTAGCTCTGAATCTCTGCTTCTGCTTCCATCAGCTACTGCATGAAGGCTCTAGGATGGCATTTAAGGTGGTCATCAATCTTATTATATGGAAAGGACATTTAAGGTAGCTTTTCCACTATTGCTTAGAGTCTTAGCTGGGGTCATCCTTGTGGGTCCCTGGAGATTTCCCTAGTGCCAGATTTCTTATTAAATCCACAACAGCTCCCTCTATTAAGATACCTCTTTCCTTGCTCTCCTAGAGGTTATTTCTAAAGTGGCATATTCAGAAATGACAGAAAGCATTCCTCAGGTGACAAAGATCATGACTTATATCCCTAAGATGTCTTTGCTAGACAGATGGGGTCAATGAACTCAATTTTCAGCCCCCAGTCACAGTTTTATTCTTACAAGTAACCTACCACTCAAAACAACAAAAACTATTCTTAAATAAAGCAGAAATACACTCTGATTTTACTGATAATTTAACCTTATCTATCTTTGCTAGTGTTCAGTTTACTTAACTAAAAATAGAAATGATTACATTACTATGTCCTGTTCTACCACACACAGAGAATAGCATGTGCTCTAGCAGAGCTTTAATTATTCATCATAAGAGATTTTTTCTCCCTTTTCTTCTCTATTTATTACCCTGCTTCCCAGAAAAAAATGACTCTAGACACTCACTGCTGAAATCAGGCAGGAAACAACCTGCTGATATTTGATAACTCTATCTCTCTCTCTCGGCACACTTTTTAAAGCCATTTCAACCCAAGCACCTCTGGGCATCCCCTTGCAAGCACACAATGCAGCACAAAATAGATGGTCCATAATTACTGCTGAACCGCACTGCTCATTACTGCTGAACCGCACTGCTCATCTGTCTTTATGAAATGCCTCTCCCACAGAATGTTCTGAAGGCTTACAATTCAAAGGAGTAAGGCGTCCCATCTGTCCACAGCCAGGCTTTGCCACTGCCATTGCGGGAGAGCCCTGTCCAATAAGAGTAGAAAAACTCAGAGTAGCTCTGAGGCATGGCAAAATCCTGTGAAAGGCACACAAGAAAACCTTTAGCTTAGAGATGCTTCAACCAGGAGTACAGGGATGTATGGGATTAGCATAGCTTCTAGAAGAATAACATGGAGACCTCATAGGTGATTAAACACACTCGCGCGCGCGCGCGCGCGCGCGCGCGCACACACACACACACACACGCGCGCGCGCGCGCGCGCGCGCGCGCGCGCGCGCGCGCGCGCGCGCGCGCGCGCGCGCGCGCGCGCGCAGGAGGGAAACACACCTGTCATGAAGCCCTTTAGAAATTTGTCCACTAAGTATGTGGGATACATCAATATATCATGCTTTGGCTTAGTAAGAATGGGATATATATTGATATGATGAGAACAGGAATCATACCAACCAAAACTTGGCCAATTATTTTTAAGGTATAAGTTTAAACACAAAATTGATATAAAATATTAGAGGAACTAAGTGCAGTGGTGCATGCCTTTAATCTCAGGAAGCAGAGGCAAATGGAACTCTGTGAGTTTGAGACTGGCCTGCTCTACATAGAGTCATGTATACAAAGTGAGACCTTATCTCAAAAAATAAATGAAGGAGAGAGAGATACAGAGACAGAGACAGAGACAGAGACAGAGAGAGACAGGGGTTAAAGAAACATGGGTGGCCTGAGACATGGCTGAGTTGGTAGAGTGCTTGCCTAGCTTGCATTGAGCTTTGTCTTCAATCCCTGTCTCCAAAAATAATCAAATTTTAATTACTTAATTAAAAATTATGTTTTATTGCCATTACTCTTGATTAATGAATTAAAATAGAACAAAAACAAGTGGGAAAATATTTGCAAAATAAGTTGAAATTATGGAAATATTTATTATTACAAAACTGGAGAAGTAATTGCTGTAAATGAGAACACAATTATAGAGATGCTTTAATGTAAAACGAAGTAAAGGAGATTTAGAAGGATGACATGAATCTTGCACCAGGAAGAAGAAAAATGCAAATTTTCATATACATATATGTATAACTTCCCTACACATATATAGCCATATACCAATATATGACAATTTCTTTTCTAATATTCAGATGTAGAAACAAGCATTGTGTCCTTTATTTCATATTTGAATGCTAGCTCTGAGTCGTTATAAATATGTCTTAAAATTGGGATACTCAGAAAAGGAAAGAAACCAGTAAGAGGCCATGAGGAGATTTCAAGAGAAAGGAAAAAGAATGCAAGTGGTATGATGGGAAGAAATGGAGCAGGAGGAGTCAAGTGGGATGCAGGTGGATGACAGGGTAGAGGAGGCAGTATGGGATGGACAACTAACATCAGTGACCTTGGGATATTCCATGTACTGTTGTAGAATATTATTTTAAGGTATGCTACTTTTCTTTATGCTCTGGAGCATTTGTTTAATGATGCGAAAATATGCTTGATTAAATAAAATTCACCTGCAGTCAGGAGGCTGAGTCAGCATCTAGCTGGCAGGAAGTTGTAGGGAGGAGCCAGGTGGAGAAGGGTTTATAAGGAGGGGAGGGAAAAGGCACAGGGACTTCCTGGAAGACCCTAAGAGGTGAGCCAGGTAAGCTGCTTGCTAGTCAGCCTCTCTGGGAAAGCAGGATTCTACCTCAAACTTTGATTCTCGAGTTCTTTAGTCGGACAAAGACTTCAATAAGTTTGCTTAGTAGCTTTGAAAGAGTTGGTGCTTGTAGCTGCGGAGTTGCTGAGTAGGATATCTGTCGCTTAAAAGGCAGCAACAATTAGAATTCAACAATTAAAAAAAGTAAAACAACAATGTACAAATCTACTACTTTAGTATGGTACTAAAACACATACATGGCCATATGTAAAAGGGTGTAAATGGAGTTTAAACCTATATTGGGGTAGTGCCTCCACCAGACACCATAGATTATCAAGCAAAAAGCCAAGTATCGACAACTCTTGGACTATACTTTAATGGCAGGTTATTGTCTGCCTTGCACTCATGAGGCCTGAATTCTGAAAAAAATCCCAGTTCCAGGTCTGTCACCTGCTTTTAAGCTGTTGGTCAATGAGGTTCCAGAGATACCTAAATATGTGTAAATTATTGTAACTATTCTTGTATTTGCCTTGGCCAACCTTCTGGAAGGTGGTGGTGGTGGTGGTGGTGGTGGTGTGTGTGTGTGTGTGTGTGTGTGTGTGTGTGTGCAGCTTACTACAATTATTTGATAGGATGTTTTTTCAATTAAAAGCTTTTAAATGTTTGCAATGGAAAGTCAGGCCACAATATTATCAGTTTTCTTAGGCTGTACCAATATTTTTCTCTTTCTACCTCATCTCAGACAGGTAAGTTAGGACATTTCCTACCTGCCTGTTGACTGAAGGCGTAGTTGACCTATTTCTCATATTTTTGTGCAGTAGATATTTGTGAAGAACACAGATTTTATCCATTTCAAGGATCATTTGAGGCAGGTGGAGTATGACCTGACTTCTTACAGTGTTCTTGCCGTGTTCTTTTGGAGGAGTCTTTGAAATACCAAGGCTAGGGAACTTACCAGCTCTTCCTGTGTTATTATCTTCAGCATGGTGGCATTGTCAGTCAGGCAGAAATATTCACAACCCTGCCAGCTTTTACTCTCTTTATAGAACTGGTAGCATTTGTCTCCATGCCACTTCCATTTTTCTGGGCAAGGGCTGCATCTGTGTCCTTGTAAGGGAACAAATACACTTTGGTTAGTTATCTTCTACCTGGATCCCTGCTCCATATCAGGAATGATCTATAGTCAGTGTTGAACATACAGTGAGAATTAAAGGTGCTTATGTGGAGTATTGCATCTGGTGGTAAAAATGACTGAAACTTCTGTGCCTATGCCATGCAGAATGTGGACAGAATATTCCCTTTTGAGGTAGCTCATATAATTATGCAATGGTTTGAATAGGCTCCTCCCATAGGCTCATAAGTACTGGGGGTATAGTTTTGAGCTTTGGTGAAGTGATTGGATCCTGGGGGCTTTGATATCATTGATGGACTGATTCCTTTATTGGTTCCAAATACAATTCCTTTAGTAGGAGGTGGTGAAAAAAGGGGCTAAGCTACGAATCAGTCACTGGGGCATGTTCTTGGGGCTGTATCACACACGTCACTCTTTGTGTGTGCCCCTTTCTCTGCTTCAAGTATGACATGCATGATGTAAGCTGTCGTGCAGTGGCCTTCATTGCCACCATGGGCTCAAACATCTGAAGCTGGAAGCTAAACAAGTCTTTGCTCTTTTCAAGTTATTTGTTGGGTATTCTCAAGTGTAGGTTCCTTGTACTCTTCCTGGAAAGTTGGTGTGTGTGTGTGTGTGTGTGTGTGTGTGTGTGTGTGTGTGTGAGAGAGAGAGAGAGAGAGAGAGAGAGAGAGAGAGAGAGAGAGAGAGTTGGCCATTGAATAATATCCATGGTTGCATCACTACTACATTTTGGAAGTGGTGGAGATTTGGAGAGTGTTTACTCTAGGTTACATACTGAGCCATATACCATGCTTTCTAACCTTTTGTTTTGAGACAGGGGCTTACTAAGTGATTCAGTCAGCCTTTAACTCATTTTATAGCCCTGTATGACTTTGAATTTGTGATTTTCTTGCCACAGTAGATGGGATTGCAGGCCTGCTCTACCATGCTCAGCATGCACTTTAAATGGGGGTTCTATTGTGGTGATGAAACACTGTGACCAAAAAGCAAATTAGGGAGGAAAGTGTCTATTTCACCCATTTCCGTATATCAGTTCATCATCAAATGCAATGAGGGCAAGAACTCAAGAAGGGAAAGAACCTGGAGGCAGGAGCTAATGTAAAGGCTGAGGAGGAGTACTGCCACCTGGCTTTCTCAGCCTGCTTTCTTAGGGAAGACAGCACTCACCACAAGCTGGGTCCTCTCCCATCCAGGACTAATTAAGATTACAGATGGATGTTATAGAGGAATTTTCCCAATCTCAGTTCCCTTCTTTCAGATAACTCTAGCTTGTGTCAAGTTGGCATAAAACTGTCCAGTTCAACATGATTTTAAGAACAATTTAGTATCAAACTACTGGTAAAATTTGAATAGTCAAATGGATCATAATGAACACAATGAGAATCCAGCAAACAATCCTCATGCATACAGACAACTCAGCTTTAACAAAGGCACAAAGAACACAGCTCAGTGAATGGGCGGGGTCTTTAGTGTATGGTACTTAGAAAAATGATATTCATATGAAGAAGAACAAACTAGACCCATGTTTCTTGGCAGATAAGGAAATCAACTCAAAATGGGTCAAGGGCTTAAGTGTACAAACACGAACTTTGATTCTACTAGAAGGAAAAGTATGTCAAGACATTGCTGTAGATAGAGATTAACTATCTTATCTTAAAAGCCTGAACCACAAAAGAAAAACTAGATGAACGTGATTCTATAGCAAAGGAAGCAATAGCATGAAGAGACAACCTTCAGAATGGAAGAACATGTGTGTAATCTACTCACATAGAGAAAACATTCAGATTATGTGAGCAGCTCAATCCAGAAATAAAACTTCCAAATAACCCAATAAAAATGGGTAAACAATACAGGAGCCATTCCCCCAAAGAGGACATACCAATAGTAACAAGTACATGAAAAGCTCCCTATTGTTACTAAATCACCACAAAAATGCAAGTCAAAGTCACAATGAATACCACATAATCCTTGTGAGTTAGAAAGACAATCAATTAAAAACTGAAAAATAACAAATAATCAAAAGAAAACATAGGAAGGAGATCTCTAACATAATGTAGGTGAAAATGTAAATTAGTACAGACACTATGGAAAACAATATGGAGATGTCTCAAAAAACCCAAACTATCACTAATTTGTAATCTGTCAACCAGACCATTATGCATGTATCCAAATGAAATGCAACTATAATATTAAATACACATCTTTACTGGCACAGTTATTATAACACTATTCATAGTAGTCAAGAAATTGTCCATGAATTAATGACTGGAAAAGAAAATAAAGCATATATATGCAACAGTTACAACTCAGCTACCGCAATATAAGGAAATTAAGTCTATTTACATGCCAGCTCATAGAACTAGATAACATTGTGCTAAGTGAAAAGAACCAAGCACAGAAAGACAAATAGTACATGTGTTTACTCATTTGTGGGAATGAAAGCGATGATTTCATAGAAGAGATGATCAGGTAGAAAGGGGAGGGACGAAAGTCTGAGAGTATTGTGTGAAACAAGAAGTGGCGCCATGGCACTGAAGACAGAAAGAGACCTACGTCATTACACCTGACTTAGTATTAGCTTAACATTACTTAAGCAACCAGAAAAGTAAAAGTAAGGGATGGAGAGATGGTTCAGCATTCATAGCACTGGCTGCTCTTGCAGAGGACCCAGGCTCAATTCTCAGCACCCTCACAGTGGCCCAGAACCACCCGTAACGCCAGTTCCAGAGGATCTAACACTCTCTTTTGACACCCCAAGTGCGCCAGGCATGCACATGGTGCATATACACATATCCAGACAAAATGCTCATACACATAAAATAAAACAACTAAATCTGAAACATTTTTTTAAAAAGTGCTAGAAAAAATTTCCTAGGACACAGCACACACAGGAATATTATATGTACAAGCACGTATACATAAACATTCAGAGGAAATGCATACTTTCGATCAGCTAGATAAATGTGTGCCATGGAAATGCACTGCTTTCAGATGTTTTTGTTCACAGTATGTAGTGCTAGTGAAACAATAATGGTCATGGAATTCCCAAGCTCACCACAGGTGTTCCCTTCAAGCTCCTCCTACAAAGTCCCTGTCTTTATAGAAGGCTTCATGTGACGATGGCTACAATGTGGTCAATGTAGCAAGAATGTGCAGCAAGGCATCACTCTCAGGCAAGCCAATCATTTGTTTGTTTGTTTGTTTGTTTTTTAAGACAGGGTCTCACTGTGTAACCCTGGATATCCTGTAACTCACTCACTCTGAAGACCAGGCTGGTCTCGAACTCACAGAGATCTTCCTTTCTCTGCCTTCGGACTACTGGGATTAAAGGTGTATGCCACCACCACCTGGCTGGGTCAGTCAGTTTTATGACACTCGGAAATGATATCATCCAAAAATATGTGGTCATTTTCTGTTTGTTTGTTTTCACTAGATTTCTGGGCACATAGGATACTAGTCAATTTATATCTGTGACCCAGACTTTCTTTCTTGCATTTTGAACTCCTCACACAGCATCCATTCCTATCATCTTATATTTAAATTGAGTATGGTTTATTTGCATAAATTTTGTAAAAAGCTAGATGAGAATTCCAGGAACCATTGCTTCCAGAGATACCTGGATTATCTTTTTCGTAATGTAGAATCCTAAAAAGAAAAAAAAGAAAGTCCACTGGGCTGGCAGAGGAACAGAAAAGAGAGAAGTATGGTCAATGAGGTCACTAGTCACATGGAAAAGGACTGCTTAGAGAAGTGTGCCCTGAGACACTGTTTACTGAGAAAATCATTCACTCATTTTCTGCTTAAGGGGAAGTGGTGTGGGGAGGGATGATGATGATGAAACTGTGGTACTTCAGAGTTTCTGAAAGAGATAACCAACCAGGACTGCAAAATGTAGGCGGCTTCCCATGCTTGTGTGGTGGAGAGGGCAGAGGAGAGGGCTGACTGGAATATAATGCACTAGAATGAAGCCTTCAAGAAGGGAGAAGAGGAAGACAGAGTGGGCGGTGGGGTGTGGGGGTTACTGGGGTGATGTTTACAGTTATCATCAGTGATAATCTTATTGCTATCATTATCATTACGCTTTGTTTATTTTTTGGTGTTTTTTTTTTTTTTTTTTTTTTTTTTTTTTATTTTTTTTTCTCTTTTTTTTTTTTTTTGTGTTTTTTTTTTTTTTTTTTTTTTTTTTTGGTAAGATTCATATTTTTGACAGACAAACAAGCCATAGTAAACTAAAACAACCGTGACTTATTTCAAGTTCTGGGTTTTGAAACTAGCCCCTGCATGAGTCTTAAAATTTGAAAATAGTAGTTGGAACATCCCCAACACTTTCCTTGTGTTGGATTTCTGTATGCCGACATAATTGAGGCACAACTCTGTATTAGTTGCTGATGGTGCTGTTGAGGTTAATCTAAATTAACTGCTTTTCTTGTTTGAAATGCTGAGATTTGAAGAATCCCTTCCTGTATGGGGACACAGATATGTGTTATCAATCATAACCCAATGTCTGATCATGATTATGTAGCTCAAACTGTTTGTTGAGATGGCAGGAAAAGTACTTCTAAAAATACATGGTTATAGTTACCCAGATGGGAAATTCAAATCCAGAACAATGTCCATGGTCCCACATCCACGGGCATGCTCACCTCCACTTTTGTTGTAAAGTTCACGACATAGTTTGACAGCTACGTTCTGCAGAGTGTCTACTAGTCTCCTGTTCTGGCTCTGGAGGGACTGCAGTTGTCGGGATAGGTTCCCCAGCCTTTCCTCCTGTTCAGCGATGCTGTCTTGCTGGGTATTGGAGAGCTGGTAGAACTGAAAAACTAAGTCATGTGATCAAGTCAGACAGGACAGCTCATTTACCTGTTTCTGTTTTCCACACGTGGGGGGGCAATAAAGCCTATAGTTTAACTTCTTAGTGCTGAGAACTCACGTTGCCATTTCCAATGGCCGTAGTTAACTGCATCATTTCAGGCAAATTTATATGTCCACCTCTGTTGGAAAACGTGAAGTCATAACAGTGGCTCTTAACTTCAGAAGTTAAGAGTCTGATACTAAACTGTTTTACTGCTCAACAAATATTTTATGCACAGCCCAAGCTACAACGAATCTAAAACTGTAAATCTACTCATCTGTTGACTACTTATTATATTGACTATTGGAAGAATGGCACAATCCATTGTTCATTCCATTATTAAAATGGTCTGATTTCCATAGTTTTATACATTTATAGTTAGGGTTTGTGAGGACAAGTAAAGTCTTTAGTGTTTCTCAACTACAAAAAATTCAACACAGATTTGAACTTCAGTTTTCTAAATCTACAGAAATCTGGCATGAGTCATGAGAGTTACTTTGCTTTCCTCAGAAAAAAAGGTGATTACAAAATAGTGCTGTATGAGGATGATGTAAGTTTGTGGGTAGAGAGTAGTAGTAGAACTTTTTTTAATTGTTAAATTTAAGTTTATAAATTTAACTTATGCTTCAAAGAAAATCAATATATGACCCCCTGGTCTGCTTTGCTGTATGGCTTTTGCCTGGGTCGCCTTCAGCAGTTCAGGAAGGGGCTGTATATTCTTACCAAGTTGATCAAGAACACACCTTTGCTGTTTTGAAATGTAAAGGTTTTACACATGTAATCTTCCTTGCTTGCTCTTCACATTTTTTTCAAAATAATGGTATCATTTCCCAGTCTTTTTGACACATATAGTGACTTAGCGCTTCTCTGCTCCTTGTGTAGAGGGTGGGTGTGTACAGAAACCACCTTTGCCTGCACCAGTCCACTGTGACACATATTAGTCATAGCAGATGCTAGACCTGCACCACCGGAGCAGAGGAGAGAGAGAAACGGTGCAAGCTGTCTAAAGTGGTGATTTACATACTGACAGGCAAACAGATACAATACTTATCTAACAGGATGTTTCCTTCTAACTGGAAAATGCATGCTGGATTTCAATACATCAACTCCTTATTTAAACTGTTGCCTTTAGAAAGAGGACAAGGCTCCAGAGTTAGGGTTTTAAGAAACTCACAGCAAGAGTTTGTCTTCCTGGACTAACCAAGGAACCAAGAACCTCCCCCAGGGTAAAGCACAGACTTACACACAAGGCCCAGGGCCGCCAGGCCAATGAGGAGCACCAGACACAAGGTCAGCAGGGTCAGGGCCACAGGGCGCCAAACTGAAGAGGGAGTCTCATTCTCTGTAGGGAACAAAGATAAATTGAGGGTGGTCTTTTCTTTCTATTGGATGAAAGGCACAGAGGTTGAAGGACCTTCTATATGCAAATTGATGCAAATGATTCTGTCCTCAGAATCATGGCCACAAAACCCAGTTAAGCCTCAGTTTTGTATCTAGGTCATTCATAAGCCCCACCCCTTCTGACCTCTCCCAGAGGCTACCACACAGAGTCACATTATTCATTACCATGACATTTAAATGGTTATTTTTAGAAGCTTATGCTTGTCAAAATTCTGACTGTGCAGGCCAGGTATGGAGGCACACACCTTTCTTTAATCTGAGCACTCAGGAGGCAGAGGCCAGCGTCATCTACATAGCAAAGTCTAGGCCTGCCAGGGTTATATTGTGAGACTTTGTTTCAAAAACAAAGAAACAAACAAAAAGAAAAACACATCTGAGTGTAAAACACTTAACAAACGCCTGACATGAAACTGGGCATGGTGGTACACACCTATAATCCCAGCAAGGTAGGGATATGTAAGGGGGATCAGGAATTCAAAGTCATCTTTAACTGCATTAGTGTTAGAGATCAACTAGTACTGACAAAAACAAACAAAAGCTCAAAACCCAAGAATCACAAACCTTACCAAGGAGCAACTTATTTCATGATCAGGAAATCCATTCAATTAATTTGTTCTTAATTTTGCAAAATATGCCCTGCCCCCAGTGTTCCACCTGTGTGTCTTTAGGAAAACAAATGACACATTCATCCTCAGAAATGATGGTTTTATTGTTTCTTTTTTGTTTTTTTTTTTACATGAGAGTCCTAACTTGTAAGAATGTTACACAATCATTTACAGCATTTATATCTTCCCCAAGCTAAATTATAAAGGAACACAACCATCATTTCTCAGAGTTGGATGTAATTATTTTAAAGTTCACACCAGTCAAACAATAAATGAAAACAGAGAAAGAAACACTTAGGGACAGCATCCTTTTAACTTTTTCCCATGGGTTTGACCTGTCACAGTAGAGTAGCCACAATGTCACAAGGAAAGCATCTATTTGGGTTATGACCAAAAGCAGCTGGCAGATTTGAACACTGTAGATTTGTTATCTACAGTGCAGATAGCATCTGGGGTTTGTGACTAGAACAGAACAAAATCAGGGTGGAACCAGAAAATTCTATACTCTCTATGTTCAATTTAGTTACAAATTCAAGTCAGGTTCTAAAACAGAAAGAACAAACATGTACAAATTCACTTCTGACTCACTGGAAACCCACCAGCTACAGGCCAGGGAATTAGGCAAATCATCTTTACTCTCCCCCCTGTCCAATTCCAAGCCCCAATCTTACCTCCAGCTCTGTAGCAGATCACCGACTGGGCCTTCCTTCCTTGGTCTCTACATATTGACCCTCACACATTGATAGTGGGAGACTTCAATACCTCAACCTAACCAATAGACAAGCCATCCAGACAAAACTACACAACCAAAAAATGCTGATGATAAATGATGTTATAAACAAAATGAACTTAACAGACACTTACCGAACATTTTACCCAAACACACACACACACACACACACAGACACACACACACACACACACACACACACACACACACACAGAGAGAGAGAGAGAGAGAGAGAGAGAGAGAGAGAGAGAGAGAAGTTGAAGACCCAGATGTAAATTGACACACCTATGACCTTTGGGCATGTGATTTTTATAAAGAAGTCAGAAATACACACTGAAAAAAAAAACACAGCATCTTTAACAACTGGTGCTAGTCAAATTGGACAGTTTCACGTAGAAGAATCCAAATAGATCCATACTTATCACTCTGCACAAAGATCTACTCCACTCCACTCCAACTGGATCAAAGAACTCAACATAGGCTGGATACGCTATGTGTGATAGAAGAGAAAGTGTGGAATAGTCTTGACCTCATTGGCACAAGGAAAGTCTTTCTTAACAGAACACCATTAGTATAGGCACTAAGATCAGCAATTGACATTTAGGATCTCATGAAACTGAAAAGCTTCTGCATGGCAAAGGATACCATCATTCAACATGGCAGCCTACAGAATAGGAAAAGATTTTTACCAACTATGCACCGATAGAGGGATAATAACCAAATTATATAAAGAGCTCAAAAACCTAGACATCAAGAATACAAATAATCCAATTAAAAATGGGATACAGAGCTAATCATAATAGTCTCAAAAGAGGATATACAAATGGCTGAGAAACACCTAAAGAAATGTTCAACATCCTTAGGCATCAGGGAAGCATGGATCAAAACTGCCTTGAGGTTTCTTCATCCACCAGTCGTAACAGCCAAGATTAATAAAACAAATAACAGCTCATGATGGCAGGCATGTTGGGTATAGGTAACACTCACTGGTTATTGGTGGGAGTGCAACCTTACACAGCCTTTATAAAATCAGTGGGACAGTTCCTCAGGGAGTAGAGAATATATATAACTCAAGATCCAGCTACCCTACTCTTAGGCATTTACCCAAAGAAAGCTTCATCTTACCACAGAGACACTTGCTCAACATTTATTGCTGCTTCATCCATAACAGCCAGAAATTGGAAAAAATCCTAGCTGTCTGTCATTTAATAAATGGATAAGCAAAATGTGGTATAATTAACAATGGAATATTACTCAGCTTAAAAAATGAAATGAAATTTGCAAATAAATGGATGGGGCTGAGAAAAAAATCATTCTGATTGGGGAACCTGTACCTACAAAGAAAAATGTGGAATGCATTAAATTATATGTGGATATTAACTGGTAAGTCTTATATAAGCAAGTTACAATCCATAGAACCACAGAAGTCGGGTGTAAACTAAGGGACTAGGTGGGAGGATTGAATCTCCCTATAAAGAGGAAATGGAATAAATAGGGATAGACAAGGTGGGGGACAGGAATAGAAGGATCAAATGGGGATGGAGTGGGAAGAGGGGGCACAGGAGAGAATATGGGGGGACAGCTAAAACTAAATGCCATTGAGGAGTCCTATGGAAACTTAATATAGTAGAAGTTTCCTAAAGTATATATACATGTGAAAGCAATCTAAATGAAATCACCAAGTAATGGGGGAGATGCAGTCCCAATTGGACATCTCTAGTCCCCAAAGGAAGCTTCCAGTACCAGCAATGGGTTTTATCTGGTAGAATTATTGGCCCTGTGAATACCCCCAAACAACCCAGGCTATTGCTAAGGATATTGGTTTCTCCCCACAAACTGATGGCAAAGCCCTATTGTTGAAGACAATGCCTACACAACTCTGCTGAACACAAAGAATTTGGAATGAAAAGGCCTCCCTAAAGCCTTTACCCCTACTGACTAGTGTTCATGGTATTGGAGTGTAGTCTTCACTCTAACAGAGGAGAAAGGTAAGCACCAATATCCCAGCTACAAACCCTTTGATCTACAATGATGACATTCCTGTAAGACTCACTAGTGCAATAGTGGCACAAAGCTGTAACAGTAACCAACCAGTATCTGAGTGGACTTAAAGCCCACTTCATGAGATAGAACCCATCCCCAACAATGCTCAGATGGCTAGGAACCTGAGACTAGATAGACCAGAGATCTAGAGGAAAACTAAATACTACCCTTCTGCTAAAGGAACATAGCAATAAAGTGACTCCTAATGCCATTCTGCTATACTCAAAGATCTGTGGCTTGCTTAGCCGTTATCAGAGAAGCTTCCTCCTGCAACAGATGGGAACAAATACAGAGATCCACAGCCAGTGTGCAGAGAATGAGAGACCTTGGAATACTCAGTTCTAAATGGAATGCCTCCATCAAATCCCTCCTCTTGGGGTTTAGAGAACCTTACAGAAGATGTGGCAGAAAGAGTGTAAGATCCAGAAGGGTTGGAGAACACCAAGAAAATAAGGAATTCTAAACACTGCTGGACCAATGCACACATGAACTCACAGACTGTGGCAGCATGCATAGGGCCTGTATGAGTCTGCACCAAATGGGATTCTAGTACCGAGATGACAAGTGGATACCTGTTCCCCATCCTTAATTCTCAGTGGCCATGCCAGAGAAGCTACAGTCAGCAATGGAACTTGTGGAATACAACCCACCAGACAGTAAAGCAGTGATTGGTTCATCCTGGAGAGGCAAAGCCCTCCGATGATTGTTGCCAGTGTGCCCCTTGCTTCTGCTGGGCCTCCTCCTGCTTGCTGTTGTCACCTTTCTGCTGTATTTGACATGGTAATCCCTTTCACTTCATTGTGAAAGGACCCCCTATACCTAGCATAGTGTGATTATTTTGTGGGAAAATTCTACTCCTCATTGGACAAATTACATGCATGATCATAATGAACATGATTTTTGTAAGAGAAATGATTCTTAGTCCAATCAATGATTTATTGAACTGTCTGAGTCAGCCTAAAAGATAAAGGTGGCTAAGACAATGAAGATAATTAGGAAAATGGTTTAGATTATTCTTCTAATTGCTTCAATAAAAGATACAAATAAGGCAAAAATAGACTAGAAGCCACATTCCCCTTTGTTCGATGTAAGATTTTCAGAGGATGGAAAACAAGAACAAGGAAGTTTCATGCATTATAGGCCCATGAATTCTGCCTGTGGATAAACAGGCTGATGATCAAAGAAAGCAATTATGCCCCTACACGCCAAGGTTAGGCCTGAGTTCCTTGGTCATGTAGTTTACAGAATTAATCACAGGTTTAGGTTTGCACCTTGGAAAAACAAGGTTGTGAAAGGAAATTAAGTGACCCTATTATCCGTAAAGAAAAATAATTGGTTAGCTAGAACACTTGTTTAAAGATTTTGTAGAGTAGAAATAAGACAGGAATCTGCTACACTGAAATTGCAAACAGCTGCCTGCCAGTACAAAAGGAGCTGGTTGAAATATACGTGTTTTGCTTAAAGCTTTGTTAACCAATTATAAAAGAATCATTGCTTTGGGGTGAAGATAGTGTGGTGGGAAAATTAATACAAAGAAAAGTGCTTATTTGTGGGCTAAAACAT